CTGAGACAGTGTTTCACAGAGTAGGCAGATGAGGGTAGGGCTGAGACTTTATTGCAGAGCAATTGAACTGAGCAGGTGTCATCAGAGCTGGTTTCTCTGCATCATGGCTGCTTCTTTGATGTCTGTTAGTGTCTGATACCTGGAAGGAGAAATTTCTTTCCTATTGAGAAAAGGAACATGCAAGCCAACGAAGGTGCTCAGAGCTCTGAGGACAAGGCTAGGGATGTGGAAGATAGAGTTTCCCATGAAGCTTCGTGATACAAAGGATGGCCTGTCCATGAAAGACTCGCTTTGGGAAGAGTTATGCACTCACTTCTGGCATTTCATGGAGTTTTGAACACTCCTTTTGGGCCAGGAGCATACCCTTTGCTCTGTTATGCTCACCCTGCCTACCCAACCCCTGACCCAGGAAGTATTTGCTCCTCATACGGGAAGTATGAGCACCGAGAGCCCTCATTGTTCATGGCTCCTGGCTGTCTTAAGACCGGTGGGCCATAGGAATAAAATGGGGCCCTGACGTATTTTATGGATTGCACCTCCTTCAGATCTTAATGTGTTAACTGGTCTTTAAGATGTACTTTGAAATGGTCTCTGCTCTGGTGTCGTTTGTTCTCAGTAATAACAAGCTGAAAAGTAAATGTGTCTTCCTGTGTAGTAATTAAATTCAACATTGTTTTCTCCCTCATCTTCCAGGAGAAATTTACTTGTTTTGCAAAGGAGCAGATTCTTCAATTTTTCCCCGGATCATAGAAGGCAAAGTGGACCAGGTCCGGTCCAGAGTCGAGCGCAATGCAGTGGTAAGATGCTGCCCCGTTCCAGCCCCGCTCGCTCCTGCACTCATCACTCAGCCCTGTTGCTTTCTATGCTAGAGGTCGCTTCGCTTTGCTGTCTGCAGCCAACCGATAACGAGAAGTCATCCTCCTGCAGAGACAGCTCACATCCTCTCAGCTGCTCCTCCCAGGACTGAGGAGCCAGAGAGACCCCATGCCTGCGATTAGATGGCTCTCTGCTGCAGTCTGCAGAGGCTGCACTAGACAGACATTCAGATACAGCTCGGTCACATCCCCCCAGAGAAAGTCCCCATGTGGTGCTGCAGAAGGCATGTGCTGGCTTCATTGAACTTATTAGGATAAAGTTCTTGAAGCCCTGGTGTTCATTTTAATTTCAAGTGGGCACATTGGGGATTCTGATGCCTTCTGCCAACGGTCACCTCCAGGAACATCACTAAAGACTCACTTTGTGTTAATGAGCACACTGACATAGTGCATACTACATTGTTCTGGATGGTTCTCCCCACCTGAGAATCATTTTCCTTAAGGGAAGTAGTTAATTGTGTTTAAAGTACATCTTTTTAAAAGACTTTATTGAGCTATAGTTGATATATTAGTGTGTTCATATTAAAGATAAAAGTGGGTAGCTTTTGATTTACACTTGTAAAAGCCTTGCCACACAGTGTCCTCCAGACCTTTGTATTCCCCTCCCTGTCAGCTCCCATCAGCCCCCACTGTTTGCCATCACTGTATGTGAGCCCTTACCTTCTGGAGTGGTCTTACCAGTGGCATCACAGTTCACCCACGTGTGTGTGTGTGTGTGTGTGTGTGTGTGTGTGTGTGTGTCTGAGTGTGTGTGTGACTGTGTCTGTGTGTGTCTGTGTCTGTCTGTGTCTGTGTGTGTGTGTGTCTGTGTCTGTGTGTCTGTGTCTGTGTGTCTGTGTCTGTGTGTGTCTGTGTCTGTGTGTGTGTGTGTCTGTGTGTGTGTGAGTGTGTGTGTGTGTGTGTGCAGCACAGCGTCCTTTTCTTGCTGAGCAACCCATCCTGCTGGTACAGTCATTTGGAAATCATTCAAACTCAGCACCTACTTATGCTCGCTGAATACCCTGGAATTCCCTATGAGTTCCTGCAGAGATCGCCATCGGGAGTTCCATAGAATCATAAGACTCCAAATGGCTTTGAGTAGCATTGTCATCTAAACAACATGAAATCTTCCACTCCATGGAAAAAGACATGTTTCTGTTATTTGCTCTTCTGTGATTTTCAGTGTTGTGCAGTTTTCAGAGTAGCACACTCATGAATGTTTTCTTTCTGATATAATTGTGGGTAGAATGCGTTCTTAATCTCCTTCCCAAGGTGAGTGTTGGGAGCGTGTGAGGTGCAGCCTGCACGTCTGTGCTGATGTCACAGTTGAGCTGTTGGGAGCGTGTGAGGTGCAGCCTGCACGTCTGTGCTGATGTCACAGTTGAGCTGTTGGGAGCGTGTGAGGTGCAGCTGACATACCTGTGCTGATCACAGCATTCATGCAGTAGCTCTGGGATTTCATGAGAGGAGGTGTACGTTCTTTATGGTTTTCTGACTACAGGAGCTGCATGTGCGGTCTTTAGAAAGGCATTCTTTCGGATTTGGGTGCCCTCTCCCTTACCGAATTGCTCTGATGGAATTTGTGGTCCTGAGTTGTGTTCGGCAGAAGTGAGAAGGCGGGAGACTCCCTGCCCTCTCCTCGCCTTGGAGCCGTTCTCGGGCACCACGTGAGGACAGCTCTGTGTGGCTCCTACAGTTTTCACGTATTTCCTCTGCATCAGTTCAGTCATCATGTGGGGCTTCATCCTGGCCACACCATGTGTTACGTTAGCCCATTTCCTAGGCTGGATCAGTCTGGCGTCTAGGATGAGTCACGTTCAGCCGTGGCTCGCAGTCCTTTCGTGTTGTTGGATGCAGTTTGCTGGTTGCTGTTGAGGATCACTTCATGTGTGTTTATAAGGGGCGCTACAGAGGTCTCCGGGCGTGACTGTGTTTCCATAGCTTGGTAGTGTTTCACGCAGGACTTTTGTCATGCTTAGCCAGAGGCTTTGGGAAAGGCCCTTTCTGCCTTCACAAGCAGAGGCCCATTCTTTCACCGCTCACAACACCCTCCCTCCCGGACAGTTCTACATTTTGTCTTTAGAGACCTCCTTGTCTGGTGACTCTTCAGACTTGTGGATGAAGCACAGTGTTTGCCCATGTCCTTCCTTCCCTCGTGAGGGTTAGGAGAACTGTTGACAGTGGGGCCTGTCCTTCACACAGGTTAGGAGGGCTAAAGAGCTGTGAGAAGTGGACAACACATAGCAGGAAATGTTCTTAAAAGTCTAAAATGCAGTATTTGCAGTGCTGCGTGTTGAGGAAGCCTGTGAGTGTCACACTGTTGTACCTGGAGTTAAGGTGAAAGAGCAAGAGACACCCAAGGGAGCCACACCAGGAGCCATCATCCAGGACGGTTTGGTGTGCGTAGTGGCAGGTCACATGGCCTTGATAGCACCTTCTTCACGCGTGTCAGAACCCCTCATCCTTGAGGCCTGTTTTAGTTTCCCATGTACCCAGCATGTGGCTGAATAAACTTGCAGTCTTCCTTGGTATTCACTATGGTTGAATTCTGACAAGCTCCCAGCTTTGGATAAACCATTGCCACAACATTACAAGTTATCTCCCCAAAACACAAATGAACTCTGTTTGTTTACATGAAGGGAAAAAGTCTGTGTTCTGGTGTAATGGCCTAGTAGAGGTATCGTAGGTTACAGTTCTAAAATGCACATGATTGTCCATATTTAATGTAATTCAGTAATTCCTTAAGGCTGGCTGGGTTATGACTCACTCTCTTCAGAGATGGGTATGAGGAAGGCCTGAGAATACATTCAGCAGGCAGTGGTGGATTCACGTTAAACACTGACTGTTCCGGCAGGAGGGTCTGCGGACCCTGTGTGTTGCCTACAAGCGGCTTGAGCCAGAAGTATATGAGGATGTTTGCAGACTGCTGCAGACCGCCAAGGTGGCGCTTCAAGATCGGGAGAAGAAGTTAGCAGAAGCCTACGAGCAGATCGAGAAGGACCTGATTCTGCTTGGTGCTACAGCTGTCGAGGACCGGTAAGGCTGCCACATGTGTCTGTTCAGCAACCGATGGGAGAGACCGTGAGAGTGGGGTGGGCAGATGGCACACACGTCCAGTGCCAGTGTGTTTTTCCTGAGGACAGCTTCACCTGTTTCCCTTCATGTAGAGTGACAACCCAGAAAACCAGAGCTGGGCGATATGATACTGGCCACACATAAGGTCCCTGAAAAGGCACTTTCTTCCAGATAGTGAAAGTGACATCTTCACATCCTGTTACACATGGAGGATCCAGTTTCTCTTCTTGCCTTAGAAAGGAATTAGTAGTAATTTTTCTAATTGTAGGAAGTTGCTGCTGGCTCTTCTGAACACAGCTTGACTTTTTAGATTAATATCTTGGACATATTTGTCTTTGTTGAAGAAAGTTAACGGAATGACGTAGTTATAGCTGGTGAAATGTGAGAGTGCTTCTGAGTTCTCAGTTACAGGGTGAGAGCCGAGGAGCCCTTGCCATGGCCTGAGGGTGGTGATGCAGAAAGGGAGGCTGCTCTAGGGAGGGGATTCTGAGTGGATGTGCATGAAGCCCTTGTGGGCAGCTGACATGGCTGGAGTTAGGCCACGGAACATGGAGGATTGACACTCAGGAGCACAGGGATCGGTGACAGTAAAACAATTTTCTCTTCTAGACGGGGCTTCGCTGTGTAGCCCAGGTGACAGAACATGTGTCCACCTGGGATTACAGATATGATGTCCCGTTGAAGTGATGGTGGTTCTTCTTTAAAACCCAAAGTCAGCACCCTTACCACTCTAGACCTCGGGTTCCCTATTGTTGTTCAGAAAAGTTACAAGATTGGAGGCAGCTGTCCTCATTTGTGCGTCTGTAATGATGGCGTCTTCACACTTCGGGCCAGGCACTTCCTCCCTGGGACTCGATGACTTTGCAGGGTTATGTAGAGGTGAAAGGTCATACCAGATTTCACACAGTGCTGGCGCATGCTGAGCCAGCAATGAACGTTAGCGAGCTGTGGGGCCACTAGTATTATCACCAGCCTCTGAACTGGACTCCAATAGAGTCTGGACTCCAGTTTGATAAGAAACAATATTAGAACACATGGTGCCAAAAGGAAAGATAATACCATATTTCCGAGTTCCATTTTCCATTTTGTTTCTGGTTTTAATGATTCTACTAAGTGGAATGATGCTGATTGTGGACAAATGTTAGGCTCAGGGAGAGGACACGGCACAGGACAGCCCCCTTAGCTTATCCATGTATGTTTGGTAGAGCCTCGTGCACATCACTGCAAGGTGTGCTCTCGGGGAGCAGGTTCGGGGCCTTTGCAGAGACCCTCAGCCCCGCGCGCGCGCTGTTCCATAGAGCTGAATGTTTTGATGGCTTCGTGTTTCTTGAAGTTCTTTCTTTGGCGGCCTTGGCTCCTGAGCCCACAGTCTGGGTTCTACTTTTCCCAGGCTCCAGGAGAAAGCCGCGGACACAATCGAAGCCCTGCAGAAGGCGGGCATCAAGGTCTGGGTGCTCACTGGAGACAAGATGGAGACGGCCTCAGCCACCTGCTATGCCTGCAAGCTGTTCCGCAGGAGCACACAGCTGCTGGAGCTGACCACCAAGAGGCTGGAGGAGCAGAGCCTGCACGATGTCCTCTTCGAGCTGAGCAAGACAGTCCTGCGCTGCAGCGGAAGCATGACCAGAGACTCCTTCTCGGGGTAGGCGGCTCCCCGCACCGCCTCTGCAAACCAGTCCCACCTCATGGGGTCCTGCACCTCTGTGTGCCCACAGTCTTCTGGGTCACCTAGAGGCTTTGAGTGGCACGGAAGCCTTTCCACAGCTGGATGTGCCTGGGCAGACAATTTCAAGCCGATAGGTGGAGAATGTAGAAAGATGTTTTCAGTGGTAAAATTTTCATCTGCTGTTGCGCCTCATGGGTCCCTCGTGGGTGCCTTGGGATGCTGCCAGAGAAGCCAGAAGGTGGTTGGGTCTTCCCAAGAGTGTCTACCAGTTTATTCACACGTTTCACAGGGCCTCCCTTGCCAGGGTTGGGTGAGTCATCTGAAGGTAGTCTCATTTGATTCTGATGAGTCATTATTTTATGTTTTTATCTGTGTGGGTGTCCACATGCGTGTGCCACAGCCAACATGGAGATTAGAGGAGAAGTTCTCTTCTTCCACCATTAGGTTCTGGGGGTTAAACTTAGGCAGTCAGGCTTAGAACACACACCCTTACTGAACTATCAAGAGACATATGTATTTGGCAGGACAAGCCAGCTCTCTTGGTGTGTGTAGATTTTAGATTGTTTTCAGAAAAGCACAAAGTTATTTCCCTATCTTGTTCTGCAGAACTTCAGGATTGTGGATGTTTTTGTCTCTCGAAGGCCTAGCAAAGGGGCCTGGAGAGATAGCTCAGTAGTTAAGAGCGTGCACCGCTCTTCCAGAGGGCCCAAGTTTAGTTCCCAGCACCAATACCAGGTGGCTTCCCACTGCCTGCAACTTCAGCTCCTGGGAGGTCAGACTCCGCTGCTCTCAGCAGACGTGTGCCCACACCTACATACAGATTATACATACTTTAAAATGATAAAATAAATAAATAAATAAATCTTTATAACCTAGCAAAGGGAAGCTTTGACCGTGTCCTAACAGCGAAGTCACCAGGGCAGGAAGCCTAGGAGGTCTTAGCCATACAGGTAGAGGGAAGCTGGCATGGAAACCAGACTTGAAGATCTGCCCTTCCAAGCCCACCTTGTGGTGTCTCAGTGTGAGACTTACACACACTCTCTCAGGAAGCTGTGGCTGCTGCCACAAGGATTTTCATTTGACTGTGATTTCACAGTGGAGTCACAGAGGTAGCCCCAGTTCCGCAAAGGTCGGCATGATTGAGGGAGAACTAGGAACCATGCAGATGCCCCGGGTATGGTGTCCTAAACTGTCGGGCGGTGACTGAGTGACCTTCCCTCCTCTGTGCTCTAACAGACTTTCGACAGATATGCATGACTATGGTTTAATCATCGACGGAGCTGCGCTGTCCTTGATAATGAAGCCCCGGGAGGATGGGAGCTCCTCGGGCAACTACAGAGAACTCTTCCTGGAGATCTGCAGGAACTGCAGTGCCGTGCTGTGCTGCCGGATGGCCCCCTTGCAGAAGGCGCAGGTCATGAACTGGCCTGCATGCTTTCTCCGTCTTTCCTTGGTCTCACTGTCCCTGATAGCCAAACACTTAGTGGGAGCATAGAAATGTCAGACCTGAGTCTCAGATTCTCCTTGAGGGTCAGGCATGGATGCCCCTCCCCAGAGAGATGCTGTAGTGCCTTGGGAGTCTACCCCAAGGGCATGGGGAAGGGTACTTGCGTTCACGGAGCACCTTCTGCATGCCCGTGGGAGCCAGGATTTGATTTTCCTCCTTCCAACTCCAGACAAGTCCTCTGCACTCTTCTGTTCTTGTGGGAACATGCCCAAATTATCTTTTGAAATACATCAAATGTGTTGTGGGATGCATCCACAAACATGGCCAGTGTCCAAACGCCTGAATGAGACCTGGCTTCACTGTAGTATGCTTGAGGTACCTCCTTAAACTGGGCAATAGGAGATTGGGTCCTCTCAGGTGACACAGCTATAAAGGTCGAGAACATACAGAGAGCCAGGTTCAGGGAGGTGCTCTTTTGAATGCAAGCTCAGTTCTCCAATTAACCTCTGTCCTGGGCACTTCTCAGAGAAGACAGGCAGTGGCTCTTTTTTTGGTACCCTCTTCTGTGCTTGACTCCATGTAATTGTTTCTCTGATCGCAGCCTGGGATTCCCAGTGCTATTTTGGGTTCCCAATTGATGTATACAAATGCACGTATACTTACTTACATTTCTTGTCTTGAAATGAGAATTCTCTGTCTCATCCTAATGCATTGTACTTAAGCATGGTGCGTGGGGGAAGTGCATTGTACTGAAGCACAGTGCATGGGGGGAGGTCTATAAAGAAATAGACTTGGAAATTAAGAAAGAGAAATCACAAAAGGTGCTTATTACATTAAGTTGACATATTTGATTTTTATGCATTATGGGTTTAAAAATTAAAATAGCATTAGAAACAGCTTCTTAAACATGGTTTGATACCAAGTGATGTGGAATTGCAGCCCCTTCGTGCAGGCTGCATTGGCCCCAGGCTTTTCCGATACCTGCGCATCACTCTAATTTTGTCTTCCTGCTTTTGTGAAGCCATTGTCATCGATCACATCTTAGGGTCTATGAGATGATTTGACCCTCTGTAGAGGAAATAGTCTGAGAGCTCTAGAAAGGAGCTGTGAGTTCAGTTTCCCTCTGACCTACACCAGCTCTGTGTCTCAGTTGGTTCTGCCCAGTTAATAAAACCCTAACGAAATCCAAACAGAGAAGATAAACTCTATGTTTCTTTCTTTTCCAGATTGTTAAGTTAATCAAATTTTCAAAGGAGCACCCTATCACCTTAGCAATTGGTGATGGTGCCAATGATGTCAGCATGATCCTGGAGGCCCACGTGGGCATAGGTAAGCCGTTGCTGCTGTAGTTGGGATCTGCGCTTTTGGTAGACACAGGCTGTACCCTGTCGTGCAGAGGGACTAGGGAATCCACCTGTGACTTGTGATTTTGCAAGGGGATACCAGGCAGTGGTCACCTGGGTTTAGCTGGCTCTGGTCACCAGTATATGCACCCTCCATTCTAGGCGTCATTGGGAAGGAGGGTCGCCAAGCTGCAAGGAACAGTGACTACGCAATACCCAGGTTTAAGCACTTGAAGAAGATGCTTCTTGTCCATGGGCACTTGTATTACATCAGGATATCAGAACTTGTGCAGTACTTCTTTTACAAGGTAGGGAGTCCTCTCAGTTTCAGCGCATGAGACCTGCGTTGGTGACTTAATGCTTCCGGTCATATATCTGCGCGAATAAGTGATCATCGGAAAGTAGGTTACTCCTGTAACAGGATTCCTGACACTTCTTGAGCCTCCTCAAACTTTAACAGAGCCAGAAGGATGAGTTGTGTGACGTTTGAGGCCACAAGTCTTGTTCCTTTGAACAGTTCTCTCAGTGCAGGCAGGTCCTTGCTGCTGACCTCTCTGTCACCACTGCCTTCCTTCCCTCTTGTGTGTCTCCCTTCTGCTGCCTGTGATCACCAGGGCCACACTACAAATGTGTACATTTCATTTGCCACACAGGGAAGAGAAGCATTTCCAAAATCCACTCAGCTGTCTTGTAAGATACTGGACCCACTTGTCATGCTCCCCCATGTGAAACAGTGTGTCACTGATGGCTAGTGAGCCCTAGGCAAGCCCGGGAGTCTCTGCAGAACGCCCTTGAACTAATAATGCTCACTTCTTGCCTTTCAGAATGTCTGCTTCATTTTCCCTCAGTTTTTGTACCAGTTCTTCTGCGGATTTTCACAGCAGGTCAGTCTGAGATCGTAAGTCGGAAGTTCATCAAAACCTTGTCTTCCTTTCCAGTGGGTGGCCGTAGTGGGGAGACCCTCTTCAGGATGCAGACAGATCCCTGTGGAGATCTCTAGGGCCCAGATGCACCCATCCTGTCTCCGCCAGGGCCTGTGAACAGACAAAGGGGAAAGGGCAGGCCATGGAGCTGAGGAGTTGCCATCCCCAGACCGGATGTCATGAGGCTGACATGTTCCTAAACACAGGCCTCTAATAACATAGCTGATGGGCTCTGGGTTGGACTGTATGATGACATTGGAAGGTACAACCCACACCTGAACCTTCATGGACGTGGGGGTCATCTTGGAGTCTGAGACATTTAAGTATATAGGATGAAACAGGTGCGGCCTGGGCAGACACTTTTCTGTCCCCACACACTGCACCATGTGCTCAGGAGGACCGTGGCCAATAGCTAATATCTGGAGCCACCAGGGTCAGGATAATTGAAGCTAGAAAATGTAAAAGTAAACAGAAGTGTGAATTTTGGGGGTCCAAGCTCTGCCTGGACCTGACGATTTTAAACCTGATGAATTTACTTCATGAAATTTGAAATCCGTCCCTGTTGTCTGTCTCTATAGAATAATGGCTACTACGCATTTTAGGTGCACTTTCTATATTTTAAGCTTTTTACTCAGGTCCTAGGGGCATGGTTCAATTGGTAAAGTTCTTGCTGTACAAACATGAGGACCTGAGTTCAAATCCCCAGCACCTATATCAAGCTGCGTATAGCAGCATAAGCCAGTGGTGAGGAGATAGAGGCAGGACAGGTGCTAACCGCTCTAGTTGAGTCAGTGAGTGCCAGGTTACCTGACGCTGACCCCTGTCTTCTCCACACACATGCATTTGCGTGTACCTGCACACAGTACTATACTAAATCATGACATCACTCTGTCGAAGTCGTCTTGCAGCCCCACTCAGCTCGCTTCTCCTTCTCGCAGACTTTGTACGATACTGCGTATCTGACTCTCTACAACATCAGCTTCACCTCCCTCCCGATTCTCCTGTACAGCCTCATGGAGCAGCACGTGGGCATTGACGTGCTCAAGAGAGACCCATCCCTCTACAGGTATGTGCCTCTGCCCTGGACAGGTGTGAGCCCAGGGGATGGGAAACAGTGCAGAAGCTGCCAACCGGCTCCTGCTGCCATTTTTTCAAAGCTAGGGTGCACTTGCTTCCTCTGGATGGTGTCTAAACAAATGGGGTCTGCACTAGGCTTGAATGCACGTGAACCTTTCTGCATCCCACTGCTTGGTAGAGGCAGGAAAGCTAGGAATGGAACCTTCATCTGTCAGCCCCCTGTGAATTCATTTCTTAGTATTAATGCAATAACTTTTATACCATTCCAGAACTGCCCAGATTTTCTGACAGTTACAGTGTTTCTTTGTAGTCTTTTTCCTTCCTAACACGTAACAGGGAGATTCTTGTCCAGTTTCTCCTGGTAATAAAGAATTGGATACTGCAGTGCAGCAGCCAGCCAGTGGCTACATTGTCACCTTCACCTACCTCATTCAGGTTTCCCAGGACCTTTTGTCTTACTCATGTTTATACACATACATGTGTGCTTACTTCTGTGAGGTCTCTTCACATATGTAGTTTCAGAAACCACATTAACATCAGACAACCTTCCCCTGTCCAGTTCACAGGACCCCATGTCACAGGCTTTGGAGACCTTTATTACATTGTTTAGTCATTTATGAGACCTTGAAACTTGAGGAATTGTGCACACGTGAGTGTGTGTGTGTGTGCACATGCACACGCATGGATGCATACATGCACGCTGTTTCAGACATGTACACAGAGGGAATGCTATGGACAAACCCCAATGCAGTGAACAGGCCTAGAAACGCATATGGGTTGGTAGCAGGTCCACGTCCAGTCTGCTGACCAGTGTGTAAGATAGTGTGCGCTGTTGTGTGTTATTTCCATCCAGAAGACAAGAGCGCCCCAGGTTTCCTTTAACAGCATTACAGCTGAATACGGGAGAAGTGTTCAGAAGCTAGTAGGGACATTGATGTGAGACTGAAGAGCGTGTGCATGCTGCCATGTTCGTCATCATGGCTGATGCTGTTGAGTAACAGGTGGACAGAGATGCTGCTGCAGAGTGGTCACAGTTTTCCCACCCTTTTCCTCAAACAGAGATATCGCCAAGAACGCGCTGCTCCGCTGGCGGGTGTTCATTTACTGGACATTTCTCGGCGTATTTGACGCTTTGGTATTTTTCTTTGGTGCTTATTTCATGTTTGAAAACACAACCGTGACCAGCAATGGACAGGTCAGTACTGAACGCCTTGTGGTTTCACTGATTAGTAATAAGCCCCACCCTGTGCGGTCATTGTGTAGAGCAGCCTTGTGAGAACAGCTCAGCCTGTGGTTAGGTGAGCACAAGAGAGGTGTGGCTCTGTGGAGCAACCTAGAGGAAGGGCCAAGTCACATTCGCCAGCTGTAGGGGAAGGTCGGTCCTGAGGTTTTCCTGACAGGTTCACAACATGCATCCCACCGTGATCTAATCCCGGTGGCTCCGTGGTTTCATCCAGCCACCGTACTTTGGTATGGGAGTTAAGTTGTGTGAGTGTCGCTCCACAGTGTATGAGCATGGCCCCTTACAGTGAGTAGCTCGTAGTTCTCTAATGGACAGCACTGTTGTTTGCCTACTTTCTGGGGTCTGTTTTATTCGTATCTTGCTTTTTTTTCTTTTTGCCACTTGCTTCCCTTCCCACCTCAGATAATGACCACCAACACAAGCATGGTAAGACACCGTGGGTTTGTTCTCTCTGTGTTTTTGGAGTGCATTACAAATAAAATATTTCTTGAAAATATTTTCAAATGTGACTTTTTCTGTGTGCTTTGTTGGTAGAAAAGCTATTAGCCACCCCTGCCCTCTCCTGGCATCAGAGCCCCCTGACCCTGCAAGGTGTCTTCTCCCTGGGTCTCTGTCAAGGCTTCGGTGAAAAGGGGTTGTTAAACTGACCCCGTAGGTCTGCATGTCACTGTAAATAAAGGACAGGAGGCCTGCTGGGGACCTTGCTTTGGTGGCATACCTGTGCTACCTGGGAGAACAAGAGGCATCCGGTAAACCTTAGATCCAGATGCAAGTGCCGAGCCCGGCCTTGAGCCCGGTTAAGATCACAGGTTCTGATGTGGCTGTTCGAACAGACGCTGCAGCTGACGCCAGAGAAACCCTCCCAGCCGTCCCCTCGGGGAGCTTGCAGACAGAAAAGCTCCCTCTTCTCCCCCTGTTGTCTTCCCGTGTTGATCCCTCAGAGTGTGAGGTTGAAGTGCCCACGTCTGGCCACTGTCGGCCATTTAACCAGCTCCCCTTTCCCCCTGTTGTCTTCCTGTGTTGATCCCTCAGAGTGTGAGGTTGAAGTGCCCACGTCTGGCCAGTGTGGGCCGTTTGTTTACCTGTGTATGTGTTTCTGTCGCCTGCTAACTAAAGATTCTCTCACACGAGATCACAAATCAGCTTTTACTGTATTTGACCCTGAAGACTTGCTAAAATTCATTCCACTGGTTTAAGAATTTTAAGATTTTCTGTAGCTTACTGTTGTCTTTTATTTTAATCAAACAATGCCTGCAGCCACCAGCCCATAAGCATGGTGACAGTGGTTGTCTGAGTCTTAGTTGACTCAGATACCATTTCCTTATAAGTCAGCCTTTCAGAAGCTTCCCGCCGTGTCTTGTGTCTCTTAAATGCTCAGGTCCCAGCACACAGCTCTCTTTTCACTCTCAAACCACGTCTTGCCACTCAAGCACCATTCATCTGGTGGTCGCTGGCATGGGAGGTTGAGGAAGGAGGATATACAGGCTGGAAGCTGGTGTGAGCTCAGGTGATGAGAAGCAAGCCAGAGCCCAGACCCTGACCTGTGCCAGCACGTGGCAGCCAGCACGTGGCATCCTCCTCAGCCCACGCTGCCTTGGAGTCTCAGAGTAATGATAGACGTTCTCCAGAGTGCAAGGGAAGGACTCAAGTGACTCTTGGTTTTAGGAATGCAGCAGGGTGCTCACTTCCCAGGCTCCCAGAGACTCTGTGCAGTGTCTCCTTCAGGCCATGCTAGCTGACGTGTAGTGGCATCTCTGCTGCCTGTCATGGGAGCTCAGGAGTCCGTGTTGCCTTGCTTGCATTCCTCAGACAATCCTTTTGGTCTCATTAGGTCTTGTGTGGGCTGGAAAGATGCAATGTCCCCACAGTTCTGCCATTAGCCATTGTTAAAGTGTTCATTAGAACCAGAAATGGGACTAGACAACAAGTGTTGCAGGTAGAGAGGGACTCACCTGAGCCTCCTACTGACTCTGCCACTGAGAAGGGCATTGATGGCCGCCTTCACTGCACACAGACTTGTAGGTAGAAATTCAGCATGTATGATATATGTCTTGACGCAGAATTCCCAAAGGAGGCTGGCAGGGTGGACCCAAGCCAGTGCTAGTCAGGACAGGTGACACTAATTCTTAGGATGTGTATTCAGAGTCAGGCATGGTGGGGGTGTGTCAGACTGAGGAGATAAGAGACCAGACAGACACCCCATGACACACATTCAGGGTAGACGCTGACACCTGTCTGTGAGGTGGGAATGGCAGGATTGGAATACCCGAGGCCACTGCACAGGTGGGAGGTCAAGGAAGGGATGTGGTTTCCTGTCAGGCCCACCACCCTCTCCCTCCACCCTGGTCCCAGGACTCTAGATAGCCCTTCTTGGCCTGGGTTCCCTCCACCCTGGTGTTTGGGGACGTGAGAACATTAGGTTTGCAGAACTCAAGTGCAGGAGTACAGTCTGGTTTAATGATCATGGTGCTCCTCATGGATCCAGGATGCATCTACCATGTTCTTCTGTTTAGAAGTTTATTCTGTTGATTGCTGTCAAAGACCTTTCTGGAAAGGTCTTCAGCGCTCCATGGGAACATTTATAGGTCCAACATGGTATAAGAACTACAGAATTATGAGTAATTTCTTAAAATTTGTTTGTGGATCTTTTTTTTTCACTGACATCAAAAGTCATAAGTATTTCATTCTTTGATGCTAGGGAGGCAATAATTACCAAACTCTCGCTGACCCCTGGGGTGTTCCTAGCCTGGTATTCAGGTTGGAATGTAACAGTAGTCAGGACACCCCTAGAGGACAGCTGAGATGGTAGTGACTGTGGTGAGTGAGCCCAGCATACAGCTGACAGAATGGCTGTGGAGTTGACCCAGAGGGGTGCAGAGCTGTCACGGCCATGACCTTATGGAATACTGCTGCATATAAATTGGCTTGGGTGTAAAGCTTTAGTGACCGGAACACTCTTTATGAGAGTGCCCATCCTCAGGACAGAGGAAGAATCGAGGAGACAAGGCTGAAGAGACACCAGGTAGATAGGAAGTACTAGCTGAGGGTGTTCCTTCAGGGCCGAGACTGTCAACCAGACCACAGATGGAGGCATATTGTTGAGATCCATGTCAGACACACAGTAAAGGTGTTACCATCCACTCAGGCGTATTGTTGAAATATGAGCCATCGGCGGGGGTATAATTATTAAGGTGTGAGCCAGTTAGACCATCAGTGTTGGTTTATTTTGGAACTGTCAATCAATCTGACATCAACAGAGGTGTACTTTTCAGGTTCTGAGGAAGTTAGAAGCAGGAACCTTAGGATCATGTGTAAAGGTGACATCTGGCCGAGGGGCTGCTGGTGTCCCCACCCCATAGATCCTTAGAGGATCTAGTCCAGAAGGTACTCAGTAACTTGGCAGGTGATCAGAAGTCTCCCACTGGAACCATCAAGGAAATAAAGGTTATACAGAAACGGCTCTGTGGCCGTCTGTCCATCCCAGTGAGCTGGCACTCACTGACCAGGAGCCATGGGCACAAGGAATAGGCTCCTGTCCAGTTTCCAGTTTCTCACTTGAGATTATTATGTTTCATCTGCCTGGGAAAGTGATGGTGATGATTGTGTGTCCTATAGGACTTGGCCTGGTGTCCCACCATGGCCCCCCAGGTCTGCAATAATCCACCAAATCCGGGGATATCTGGCAGTGGGGAGCATCCATTCCTCCTGTAACAGGTGTGGGAAGAGCAAGCTGTGAGTTCCTTTGGCTTGGTGTGTGGTGCTGCTGGCATCTGCATGTCCCATACCCATGTCATGCTGTCATATACAGTGGTTAAATTCATTCTGTGCCAGCTGATGGCACAGAAGAGCTGAGATGGAGGCAGTGGGGCTCCTTTCTGCCAAATATAGCCTCTGTGGGGGCAAAGCCTCCCCTCCTCTCACTGCAGGTTGCCATTTGGCCAGCACCTATAGCTTTCCATTAAACAAACCAACAACTGTTCACTCTCCACCATCTTGTGGGCTGCTGCCAGCCTCCTGCCCTAGAGTTAAAGCCCATGGCAGAGTGCTGTAACCCTCTTGTGTCAGTCACACGATGCATTGGCATTGAAAGCCAACCCCATGGGTCTCGCCCTGCATATCTTACAGCGTCTCTGGTTCCTCCCTGCCAGTTGCAGCAGTGCCCACTCTGGCGTCACCAAGTGGCCCCCGGCTAGAAGCCCCACATATGGCCCCACATGCAGGTCTGATGGCTTTTATGGGTACTGTTTCCAAGCCCAGGGAGGAAGGCATTTCTCTAGTAAGTTGAAGAATAGGGCACAGGTCTCTAAGCCCAAGGAGGAAGGCGTTTCTCTAGAACTCTCCACTGACTCCCAAAACTCCTGCAGGCCATGAATTTTCACAAAACTCTAGCTTAGAGTATGATTGTTTCTTTTATTGAAAACACAGCATAGACAAAAGTGCTGTCTTCCCAGCCTTTTGATTCTTTGTGAAATAAACTTGAGGGACATTCTAGGGGCATTGTCTGAGAGGCCCAGTTCATAGACCCCACCATGTCCACCTCGTGTGTTGTGCAGGGAACCGTTCTCGCGGATGGCTTCTGCCGACCAGCTTTCCTGGGAGACAGGGCTCGCAGCCACTGACCTCACACGTGTCTGTCTGTGGTTGAGAAATGTGACTCATGTCTGTCCCTCCCGCCGTCCTGCTTGCCTTCCAGCAGAAGGAGGGCAGCCCACACCCGCCTGGTCCTCCCTCCTCATTGATGAGTTGTTAGCAGCCATAGCTGTGACCAGGGCTCTGACTGTTGGAGGAGCAGCCTCTGTCCAGTGTGTGCCGCCTGCCCACCTCCTCATTGCCCTGAGGTCTTCTCTTCACGGAGAAGCCTTCCCTGATGCTGTCACTTCTGTGTTCTGTCTCCTCTGGCTGTCTCCTGCAGTGTTCTAGCGGCTGTGCCCCTCAGCTGTGGGCATCTCCGTCACCAGCAGCAGGTTCCCTCAGTTTGCTCTTGAGACACAAGACCAGACCTAGGCAGTAAAGTGGACAACGCTTCTATCTAGAAAACCCCATGTGTATTGACTGCAGCCATGAGGTCTCTCCCTGCTGAATCTGAGACCTTAGGACTCCACGCAGTGATGTGCTAGTGCCCTGTAGGGCCAGTACTGGGGCCAGAAGGGCACTGACTTGAGTCATTCCCGAGTTAGGCTTGGCCACTGTGCTGGCCTAGGCCCACCTGAGCTCTTGCCTTTTCTCGCTCAGGAACCTGTAGTGCCCATCTCTTGGGGCTAAGAGGTGCAGAGGCCATGGGTCATGCTCTCTAGCGTCCGTGTTCGGGATGAGGGAGGAGAGGTGAATGGCACCAGGCACTCACTTGGACTCTTGTCTCCACAGATGTTTGGGAACTGGACCTTCGGGACACTGGTGTTCACCGTGATGGTGATCACTGTCACACTGAAGGTAAGTCAGTGATTGGTCACACTCCGGCCGTGCCAGCCTGCCCGCAGCTCTCCCTGAGCTCATGGAGTCCTAGGTCCATACTGATGCTAGGTGTCCGTGCCATCTTCTTCAGCTCATACCCAGGACCCAGCAATGGACACCGCCTCGTCCATGAACTTCCAGAATTGCCCGAAAGGAAATGAAGAGCTGAGTGTTTACAGAAGGATAGAAATTTTTTATGTATATGGATGTATTATCTGCATGTCGGCGTGCCACATGGATGCCTAGTGCCCTTGACTAAAGTTACAGACGATTGTGAACTGCCATGTGGGTGCTGGGAATCGAACTCAGGTCATCGGGAAAGTCAAGTCAGGTTCTATGAAGAACTTCATTATGAAAGTCTCTGAACCCATCACATTGGGTCTTTAAAAGTATGCAAACAAACTCCTTAAACTATCTTCTCAGACAGCAGAATGTCATCATGGAAGATGCTTTTCTCTCTCTCTCTCTCTCTCTCTCTCTCTCTCTCTCTCTCTCTCTCTCTCTCTCACACACACACACACACACACACCCAAAAAAAAAAAAAAAAAAAAAAAACAGGTCCCAGGTGACTTGAGACAACCTGGCCATCCCAGCTGTTCCTCCTGTGGAAGCATGGGTTTGGGTTGCTGTGGTTTTTCTTGGAAGCTCTTGTAGGCATTCTGCCATTGTGTTTCAGTTTTGCCTTGTTTTTTGTGATTTTCTGGACCTCCTTTCTACATGCCTGGGCGATGGCGCTGTTGACACCTCCTCTCTTGCAGCTCGCGCTGGACACGCATTACTGGACTTGGATAAACCACTTTGTCATCTGGGGGTCACTGCTCTTCTACATCGTCTTCTCCCTGCTCTGGGGAGGGATTATCTGGTAAGACCCCTTAAGCCCCACGTGGCCCCAGCCACCCCCAGCCCTGTTGGGGAGGGCCCAAGAGGTTCTGTACAACCTAAGGCCTCCTACACTTCGTGAAAGTTCCTGTTGGGACCTCTGTGTCCCCAGTGTCACAGTGTGTTCTGGAGCTCTAGCAGACAAGTGACCTGGGTAAACGGTTGATTCCGGAGTCTGGAAGACACAGATCATAGCAACAGCATAGTCTGCTCAGCACCCAGTGAGGGTCGCATGCTGTGTCGTGAGGCAGTTGTGGCGGTGGGCACCAGTTTCATGCAGCCTCATCTCAAAATGCCATTCATAGAGACTTACCTGTGTTCTTTGAGGACACAGACACAGTGTGGGGCAGGGTATGTGGCCCGTTTTGCTATGATACTCCCAAAGGACCTTAGCAGCCCACCCTCACGTGAGACTCTGACTGAAGAATACAGTATCCCCTTCAGCTGATTTAGCACTGTGACCAAAATCCCTGGAGAGGGCAAGCTCTGTGACCTGAGTGCCCAGGCTAGAGAGTAGTGGGAGGGGCAGCCACACAGAGTACGGTTTGTCTACGTCAGTCCTCACCTGGGTAAGCTGACCTTGCCCTAACCCTGGCCAGAGCAAGGTTTCTTCATTCTGCATCATAGCTCCTGAGGAGGAACAACTTTAGGAAGAGCATCCTAGCCTTCTGCCTGACAGTCAACCAGGGGACCTTTATAAGGGCTCCCAGAGCCCTGCAGAGGCAGGAACAACTTTGGGTGTTCCCTAGCTCCCTTGCCCTAAAAGCAGAAAGCCAGAACTGAAGTCCTAGAAGGCTCTAAGTCTGGTGGGGAGGGGAGATTACAGTGGGGTCCGGGACCTAGGGCCTGTGCATCTCGTGACTGCTGCACCCTCTTTTCTGAGATGTTGGTATAAGCAGTGGGGACCTTCCCAACAGCCCCGGCACCCTGTCCCTGAGCGTCTTCCCCCTCCCCATACTCCATTCTGATCATCACCTTGTGTCTAATGCAGTCTGTGTCGCCTTGAAGGTGGGGCTTTACTCTTTCCCTGGGCTGTACATGGTGCCAGGAGATGGAAGGTAATTCCCAGGTCTTGGGAGAAAGCAGGGAGCATGGAGTCAAATAAGCCATCACTGGCATACCAGCAGCCACCCCTGTTCCTCTGTCTCCTTGGAAGGGAGACATGTATTCAAAGCATTTGGTGGCCCCTGGGCCTGCTGGTCAGCAGTCCGACTGCCTGTGGGGATGCTGCTGCTGGTGTGAAGAACACCCAGATGCTGACCTGCGGCATCCCTGTTTCCTGTGGGAGGCCAGTCTACAGCTCCTTCTTCCCGATGCACAGAGTCCCGAGAGTGGCGAGTTTGGGCAAGTGTCCTTCCTGGCTGGGCAGCGTCTCACCAGCATCCTCTCCCCCCTCCCAGGCCATTCCTCAGTTATCAGCGGATGTACTACGTGTTCCTACACATGCTGTCCAGCGGGCCTGCCTGGCTGGGCATCACACTGCTTGTCACTGTCAGCCTCCTCCCTGATGTCCTCAAGAAGGTCCTGTGCAGGCAGCTGTGGCCCACGGCGACGGAGAGGACTCAGGTATGGAGACTGCCTAGCCTGGCCAGCCACTTTCCTCTCTCTGTCTTATGATTGGGAAGTTACTAAGAGATGGCACAAAGAAGGTCTGGGCATCATAAAACTGAGCAGCCCACACCTTTCTAGTTAATTCCGCAATGGCATATGTTTTAAGTGTTCTATTACATAAATTTTGAGATGAAAAATGTTTAATTTTTTTAGACCTGAACAACCAACTGAAAAGTAAAAGAAATGAGAATAAAAAATAATAGAAAAAAATTATTTTCTCTAAATCCACAAAAAATGTAATTAATTGTTACTTCAATCATTGAATTACACTGGACTCTTGTGCAGTGATATGGCACCTACTTAGCATGTTACAAAGCCTAATTGTTCATCCCTAACTCCGAAGGGGGGAAAACAGATGGTTATGTCAGTTTTAAGGGTGTTGGATTTAATTTTGGCTCAAAGTCACCTTTACAAGAGGAAGGAGTTACGGGGACACTGCTTCCCCTCCCAAACTGGCCAGCAGGCTAATGCTCAGCAGGACCCTGCCACCAGGGTGCCTGGCGGTCACCAAGACACAGAGTTTCAGTTTCACCCACGAAAGTCTTAATCTCTGGATGAGGCTGGGCTGTGGGGTCTGCATGTTCAGCAACCTCTCGGTAACTGCAGCCTGACAGCACAGGGCCTGTGTGTGCAGAGGGATGGAGCTGCACAGTTCCTGCAGGAGAGAGGCAGTAAGGAGCCGGTGGGGGTGGGGGTCCCTCATTACCTGGCTACCTGCCACCCACGTGTGGAACCTGAGTCTAGTGTGGAGCCAGCTGGCCTTGTTTGGGGTGGGAAGCAGATAACCCAAGCCAGGGGACTGGTAAGGCTCCACCCACCAACCCCACCTTCTTGGTCATCCTTCTCAGGACTTGGTGCCGCTGGTTCTTCCCTGCTTTATGCCTCCTGCCACAGTTATATAATCTGCTATTAGAGCTCTTACCCATGCCTCTGTTCATGGGCATGGACGTGTTCACCCGGTAAACAGTCCCAAGGTAGTGCCTATCAACAAAATGATACCAGGCATTTTAGGACTGGGGACCCCTCAGCTCACAAAGTGAGAGACAACAGGAAGGGTTACTCACCTGCCACTGAGGCCCACCACCACCACCTTCTTCCTGACCCTCCCCATCCACACACACACACACACACAGAGCAGTTGGCCCTGGAGCTGTCAGTGCTCCGCTGCTCTGGCCTCCGTGGGAATGGCATTCATTGTTCATAGCCAGCAGTCAGCCTGTAGGAACGGGAAAGCAGTCCAGTGACTGGCTTCCACACAAGCCTGGAGTCTTTGCTCTTCAGAAGTACAGCTCCAAGGCTGACATGTATTTTCCTGATATCAGCAGTGTCACAGTAGACAGTTTCCCGGCACAGAGACACAGTGGTCACATGGTCATAAAGATGCATGGACATTGTCTTCACAATATCAGGGACACTGGATGAGTGTGGTTTTTAGGATGCCTGACATACAGAGGTGCTCTATTCATGACAGCGCCCCATGTATAAGGACAGAATGAACACTCATGCGCTCCTCATGACCACTCCCTGTGCATGGGGATGTGGGAGCACACATTCAAGGCAATGTCTTGACACTTGGGACACAGGGACACATGGTCATGGCAGCATGTGTGCATAGAGTTCTGACCCCAGAGAGAGGTGCAGCTCAGGATGTCTCCTGGGTCCCCTGGCTATAGCATAGCTGTGGTCACAAAAGCACATTCTGCCCGAGGCCCACATGTTGATGGACTGTCAGGTGTTTGACTTGATGCGTTTGAGCAAAGAGTTCGGCTCTACAGGGTAGCAAGGGCACCTCCCTACAGGACTCCTGAGATTTGCTGTGCTATTGGTTGTGACTTCTACTGTGGGACTCTGCTTTGCAAGAATCTTCTGGAAGCCTGGCGGTGGTGGCACACGCCTTTAATCCCAGCACTTGGGAGGCAGAGGCAGGCAGATCTCTGTGAGTTCGAGGCCAGCCTGGTCTACAGGAGCTTGTTCCAGGACAGGCTACAAAGCCACAGAGAAAAAACAGAAAAACAAAAAAAGAATCTTCTGGAATGGCCTTAGAAGGAGGAGTGGAGAAGCCCATTGCTGTGTGGAGATATGAAGCCTAGCAGAAGTGTCTTACTATAAGCTGTCCCCAGTTGCAGCACAGGAGGCATAGAGCTAGGAGGAGGCAGGTGTGGACCAGGGTAAGGAGGAGTGGACCAGTGGGGTCCTGGCCTGGCAGCGCCCAGACGCTAGGGCAGTGGTGTTACTGTGTGCTAGGATGTTTGCCTGTAACCAACTTACCTCTTGTCTCTCTCTCCTGCCTCCCTGGCCCTCCCCTGCTTTGCCTAAATAACCACTACTTGTTCAAACACTCTGCGCGCATGGGCTCCGGACTGCGGCCTGCAGGCCAGGAACAAGTGCCTTTCTGTCGAGCAGCCCACCGTCTTTATGCTTTCCCAGACCGCCAGTGGTCTGAGTTTCTGACCAACAGGTGACCCTCTCCGCCTTCTCGCATGCTGGGGTGATGGCCACAGGACCAGAGGGGAAGAGCTTAGTGTTGAGGCCACCCAGTGTGCTCCGACCCTGTCATTCATCAGTTACCTCGTCGGGTGACACGGTGACAGCGCCCCACCTGCGAGGCTTTGCCTTCCTTCAGCGGAGGCTCACAGCCGCTCTCTCTGTCCCTTAGGGGGTCCGGAGCCTTCACCATTGCTTGACGCTGGTGGCTCAGCCCCTAAGCACCTGGCAGTCAGGCAGGTCACACACACAGTCCAGCTTGAGCAAGGTGACCTTAGCATGGCCCTGTTCTCCCAACATACCTACCTCTGGGGTCCCACTCTTTAGTGTGGAAACTGAGGCCGACCAGGAAAGAGTGTTCTACTCAAGACCCTTGAGTACATTGTGAGGTAGAGTCACACTCCCCTGGCCTCTACTTACCAGATTCCTGTTCTACTTTTCAAAATAAAAACCTGTTACCATCTATATACCTTAAACACCATTTTTAACAAGATGAGACATTTTGAAACAATGGCAACCAAAAATTTTTCTAACTTCATGTCATAAGATCCCTTAGAATACATTACATCATTCCAGCTACTGTTTACACTCTTGAAAACATTTTGGAGGGGATTTTTAGGAAGACTAAAATGTCACAAGGACTTTGTAAAACATTACATATGCCAACTCAGGCCGCAAACACTGTTCCCTGTTGACGAAGCTTCCTACGCATTGAGTTTCTTGGACCTGTACAGAAGTAGACTCCAGCCGCTGGGGAGGTGGCACTGTGGTCCTGTCTCCTGTGGCTCGAACTGAGCCCCCAGGCATCATAGCAGACCACATAGGCCCTGCCACCGCACGTCAGGCACAGCAGACAGACACGCTGCTGTTGCACAGCAGCATGGTCCTTCCACAGGTCTCAGTGGGCCTGATTTGACTTCAGACATCTGGGGTTCACTTTCATCCTGTTCCTGGTACAAGGCAAGCGTGACGGACACTGGGCATGTTATATATCAAGCTTGTATATATAACATTGTGCGTGTCTTCGCACCAGTCTCTGAGTCCACACACTTGCAGCCTGCCTGCCCATCCATCCTTGTGCCTGTGTGGGCAACAGCGCCATCCTCTGGCTACTTCTCCTACTGGACACTTGCCAGTTCCACCTGCTCTTCCGCCATCCGGCCTTGTATTACTTCAACTCTGAAAGCTCCCTCATTCCTCGGCACTGCAAAGCTGGTGAATGAGAACTGGGAAGTGCTTAAAAACTGCACCACGCCAGGCCAGGAGCCAGCATTCTTCAGGACATGGCCTGTGAATGTCCTGTCTGCCAGGCAGGTTGTGTGGAAACCACTGCTCACATACCAGTGGCTGCAGAGGAGGCGGCACACAGGTGCCCATGGCAGGATGGAGAGCTTTGCAATTCTGGACGCAACCTCTGCTGGGAGCAGGAACTTGTTAGGACCTTGCAACTGGTGGCTCTCTCCCATGGTGCTGCAACTTGCCCTTTGACCTTGCCACTTCTTCCTTGGGTGCAGACTTCTTCGAATGAACCTGTTCAGAGCCATCTGTTCCCCTAGAGGAAGCTTTGTACACCTTTGTGGACAGGCAGCCCCTGGAGCCAGCTCTGGCCACCTTGATGGCGTCATGACTGATAATGTGCAGACCCTGCAAGCAGAGCTCGTGGTCTGCCATGGTTGAGAGCGTGGGGAAGGCCTAAGTCAGTGTATCTGCAGTAGCCAGGGCACAGGTCCTGGCCTCCTATGCTGGCCTCCTTGCAGGCAGCAGCTCAGTGTTTTTCCTCGCCCTTGCAGAAGAGCACCCGACTCAAAGCATCAGCCGATGCCACTTCGAGCAGCGACAGGCCCCTGCTGAAGGAGTTCTTACCGCAGCCAAGACGTGTCTAGCCCAACGCTAGGTAACGGTATGGCTGCCATGCTGGCCGGTGTGCTGTGGTTCTCAGACTGTCTGCTCCTCCTCCAGAGTTTTGCTGTGTTGTTCCCTCCACCCTTCTTTTTTTAAAAAATAAGAGTGATTCATTCTGAAAACAAAGTACCATTTTTGCACACACACACAGACACACACAGGTAAGTGGCACACTTGACAGTGAGCTAAGCACATAAGGAAAAAGTTATACACGTGTGTGTATACTCATGCAAGTGACATGTGACCAATATGCCATGTCCACTGTTGCCTGAGAAGCCGGCTCCTGTCCTTGTGATAGACACAGCTTCACATAACGGCTACTTGGGATAATCCTGTCTTGAATTGGAAGTAAGGTCTCACACGGCTGCACTGGGCACAGCCCAGCCAGTGTCCAGCTGAGACACAGCTGTAGTCGTCGTGCTCACCTGGAGGTAGTGTGATCCGGGGATTGTCACCAGGAGCGAGATCTGCACTGTGCAGCCTCTCGCCCCGCCCTCCTGGCTGCCCGCTGCTCTTTGTGCATGCTGTGGCTTTCCGTAAGAGGCAGCACCAGCCACTGCTGTCTGGTACCTGTAGGTCAGGGGCATGATAGCTTGTTGTTGTCAGCATGACACTGACCCCAGTCCCTGTCAGGCTAGGACATACTAACCTGCACAGGTGAGTCCTGTCTTCCTGGGGTGATGGCTAGCACCCTAGGTCAGGGATCTCTGGGGACCGATAACCACACATGCCTGTGGTCACAGGGAAGAGGCTCAATGAGTTTAGCACTTTGTCCCGCTGCCCTCCTAGGTTGTCCCTGGCACGTGGGATGGCCCTTCTGTTGGCACTCAGACAGAGGGTGTTTGTTCCCAGACCTGAAGGCGAATTGCCTGCAGGCACAGTTTGCATGGGATGGCCCCTTACCTGCCCCTTGGGGTGACCTAGTAGTCCGAGGTAGGCTGGTGAGGCTGAAGCCGCATTGGCAGCTAGGGCTTCCTCAGAGGTTCTGGGACTGATGATGGGTCTTCTGTTCTTTTGGCAGAACATCCAACTGCGGGACAGCGTTTCAGAATTCACCCCTCTGACCTCTTTGAAGAGCTGGGGTACTCAGGGCGCCAGACCCGTGGCTCCCCAGTGCAGCTCCCCGTCTGGGAGAGTAGTGTGCTCGAAGTGGGAGGGCGAAGAGTACGCTGTGCTCCCTCCCCACCCAGGCCTTTCCCACAACACGAGGTATGGGTGCTGCGGGTCCAGCCTGGAAATGCCCACTTGATGGACAGACAGCCTTCTGTCCCAGCCTCTGAGCGCTGTGTCTTTGGGTGCCTGTGTGTGCCTGTACCTGCCCCACCCCTCATTCTCAAGAAGGTGGGGGTGGGGTCACAGGTCACCCCCTCAGGCACAGCACACTGCAATCTGGACCGTGTGAGACAAGCATTGTCCTAGGCCTGGTGACCGTACAGACAGTTGGGCTGTGGAGAAGGACATGATGCTTGCCTTCACCTTAAGCATTGCAGCTATGAACCAGGCCTGAGTATCCACCCTCTGCTGTCATCCTCTGCTGCACTGGAGGAGAAGACCCCGTCCTTTGTCTGCAGATTGTACATTCTGCACACGGGCTTGGCTCGTGCTGCATCCTGGTGTTCTGACCACGTGTTTCCTGAAGTGGCCGTACCAGACACTACGTGGTCTGCGTCTCCCGGACCCGTGGCCTTGCTGTGCTCACAGTCACTGTCCCTCACGAGCCATTTCCCTGGATCATGTCTGAGTCTGTTTGATAAGGAGATGCTGACCCTGCACATTGGAGCTTTGAAAGGTGTCAGTGTCTCCTTCCCGCCACCGGCTGCCTGTGGAAGATGACATTTATGTATATGGATAAGTCACACTGTTAAAACCAGGTCTCTCAGGAGTGTCATGATATCCACTACATCCCAGAATGATGTTAGTTTATCTTACTGGAAAACATTTGTTTCAGGGGTGCTGGGAAAGGTGGGGGTTTGGGGCACCCGGGCAGATATTTATCTCACCCAGAGGTGAGTCCCATACCCAGAGCTGTCTGGGCCGGTGTGGACTCGCCCATCCTAGTCTGCTCAGCCTGCCTCCCACTGGTGCCACACAGATCCCATCCAGGGCTTTCCCTGGCGTGGACAGGCCACTGTGCTGTGAATCCTGCTGCTTCCTGCGCTGGAGGTTCTGTTTCTAGTGGAGCATCCGACAGGGCTGCAACAGGCCTCACAGAGGGAAGATGCTGCAGAAAGTGCCAGCCTGAACCTGGGAGAAAGCCATCCCCATCCCCGTGGAGTGCTGTGGTGGACCTGGGGCCATCATGAGGGTCACGGGCACTCGAGAGCCTGCAACCTGGGAAGCACAAATTTTGTAACACAGTTATACAAAGTTTCCCTCCAAACAGTGTGCTTGAGCTGGGGGAGCAACCAACAGAGCAATTACTGGACCTGGCAGCTGGAGGGTCGGATGAACGCAAACACCACACACCAAAGATGGGGGGATGACCTTGTGCTGTGAACAGACAGAAGAATGCACAGCCCCACTCGGCTGTCCCTGGCTTCATACATCCTCATGCCCGTTCACCCAGCTGCGTCGCCATGTGTCAGCCCAGGATTGGAGCCCCAGTCCACACTAGCCCTTAAGTAGTGGTGTGTGCATTTTTACAGCCCTTTTTAAGAACCCCAAACAGGTACAAGTATAAATACCTGTGGGGAGGGGCAGATTCTCTGTATGTTTAGTTAACAAATTATTTGTAATGTATTTTTTTAGGGATCTTAAAATTGCCTTTGCACTGAAGTATTTTCATAGCTGTTTCTAGGTCTCTTCATTTGTTGGTGTATCTTCTGATTTTTAAGTATGTTTTTAAAGCTTTCACTTTTTAAGTTTTGTTTTTGGCCACTTTAAATGCTGGTGAGCGTTCCGACTGAATGTTTCCATGTCTGATGGGTGAGCCTCCTGGTTCCCCTCTGTGCCTCTCTGTTCCATGGTGTTTCTGGAGAGCGACCTGCTGAAGGCATGCTGAGGGTGTAACCATTCTCTCTTCTTGGTTTGTCACCATTCTTTGAATTTTCATGTTTTCTGTTTTGTTTTTTATTTCCATCCTTCAGCCTTAAACACAGAATATTCTTCCTGCAGGCTCTATGTTCTGCAACCCAGTCTCGGTGTGAGGACACTCTCTCGCACCGCCCCCCCTCCATAGCCTAAGTTTACATAGGAACACCCCAGACTTTATGCACACTCCAGTGTCTTTTAAAATTGTGCTTAGGAAATTACCACGTGAAGGTGCCTAAGAATTTGAAATAGATGAGGGCACCGGTGAAATGCAGAAACGAGACCGAATGTGAGTGCAGAAGATGTTCCACCCCACCTCACAGCGGCTGCTTCTTACTTTCCTTACAGCCAGTAACTTTAACTCAAATGAAGCATTTTCTTAATTGCATTGCACATGTAACATATGTTGGCCAGAATTCATGGTTCTGTCGCCTGCAAGCAGTTCATCTCATGTATGTACCGGGAGCCCTGGCTTCATATGTGTTCTCTTACTTTCTGCCCCACACACTTCATGACCATTTACAAGCTATATAAACATGTATGCATATGTGCACATACACACAAGCACACGTGCATTTTCTTTCCAGCCACCATTCTGATAGCCCTGTGCAGAGATTTTGCCCTCTGCAGCCATCAGGCTACACACACGCACACACACACACACACACGCACACACCATCACACACACACCATCAGGCTCCTTTCACTCACACAACATCAGGCTCCTTTCGGTTGGGCTCCTTACATTCACACACACACACACACACACACACACACACACACACCTCGGAAGGGTGCTTGGGCTGTGGGTGACATAGCAGTGCTGGACTGAGCTGAGCTCTCCCTTTTCAGGGAAGTATGCCTCTCAGGCAGGACCTCCCTCTGCTCCCTCAGCCCAGCAAGCAGGATCCAGGCTAACCAATGCAAAGCCGCATGCCACCCTGAGTGCAGGTGTCTACCCCCTTGCCATTATACTAGCTAGGAAAATGTCCCTAAATCCCAGCTATCCATTCCTGAGTACAAGCAGACCAAAGGCCCCGCCCAGGGAGCTCCTGGATGGGAGGAGGCTCTGAAGGCTGAGGTAGCAAAGTCCTGGGGGTGACACAGCCAGGACTGGAACCATGGGGTGACTTTAAGTGTCTTTCCTGAGGGCATTTCCTAAGATCGGCTGCTGGCACCCAGGTCCCTGGGCATCAGCCAAGTGTCTGGTGGTCTGGAGAAAGCTCCAGCCTGGGCCTCTGAACCCTCAAGCTCAAGGTCTATCTGCACTGACTGGTACTGGACTCAGCCAACCACATTTATTTCATCTTAATGTAATTCATCGGCAATGCCACAGAACAGCAGGCCCTTGTGTTCTACATTTCTTTTTGGAAATTTCCCACATATGACTGTAAAAACAGGGAAAAAGTCACTTGGCGAATGCAATCCTTTGTGTGAAGAGCCAGAAGACGGGTGAGTAGACAGAGCGGCTCTGATGCTGCTGTCTGAACAAAGCTTTAGTGAGGAGGTGTGTGTCGGAAGTGTTACAAAAGTGAGCTTCTAATTTTGCAGAAAAAGTCTATCAATTTATATAGCTTTATTTTTTACCTTATCAAGAGATACAGAATTTTAATATGCATATATTGTCTTAAATCATGTGTGTCTGCATTACCACTTAAAATGTCCATCTACAATGTAATGTATGAATAAGAGAGAATCAAAGAGTATTTAACATGAATGGTTATCTGTAGCTGTCATCGTCATAAGTACCGGGATTTATTTTAAATTATCAAATATAGTAAATACATTAATCATGTCATTCTCCAACACTAATGTTTAACTGGTAGCCCAATAACCTGCTTTGAAAAATTAAATTGTGAAATAAACCAGATCAGATGTCTCATGAGGTTTATTTTGTGTGCTGCTGTGGATTGTTCCTGGGATTTCTGTGGGCAGTCCTGATACACCGGGTCTTTCCCTAGGAGACTTCATTCCAATGACTGAAAAGATGCACCTCTCTGTGTTCTTACAAATCTGTGTAGTATCATGTAGTTGCTCACACACTTTCTACTAACAGAAACCATGGTTCAAAGCACACATGTCTGTTGGGCAGGGGGTCACACTGTACAGGTATTGTGAGAAACAGAATATACTATACTGAAGTGGGGGCAGGGGGCAGGTATGATCACTACTCCACCTCCATTTTTGAGCATATGGGGGCTCTCTGGAAGATCTGAATGTAAAGCCACACTGACGACCCTGGTCCATGGCCTGAGGGAACATGTTGAATATACCTAGAACGAGAAACTTGCATCAGAACCTGCAGTGTCAGAAGTCTTCCTCACCAGCCCTCCTGTGCACCCCAAAGCTAGTCTTGTGCCCCACCTCTAGAACACCTCCCCTTTCTTTTTTCTTCTGTAAAAACTGGGGCTCAGCAACCCCAGTCTCACTATCAGGCAGTTATTTCCAGCTGAGCAAGCAGACTCTGGGTACCATGTGAGGAACCTCAAGAACGCTGAGTCTACTTTAGGCTCCTCACTGCCTGGCACCCTCTGCAGCTGGATGTCCTGGATGCTAGTACTTAAAACATCAGGATATTGAGCTCCTTTGTTGGACATTTGGGCCACGGGATCCAAAGCCACTTTCCTCACATGAGTGGTTTCTAGTGAAGAGTGGTCTTCAGGCTTTGCTGCGATAGGCCGATGATCAATGGAATTCTTGGCTCCAGGCCATCTGAGGGGTTCACGTGGCCCATGCAGTTGGCAATCCTGCACCTGTGAGACAGGGTTGTACCCAGCAAGTTCCTCTGTTTCTCCACCTGCGAAGTCCTTTGTAACTAAGAAGGTCTTGGTTCTATCCTCAACCTTCTCTGCACACATGGTACCTGAGCTGCATCTCTAGCTTTGAGCCACACCCGTTTCGGGACAACTGACACACAGGCTGCCTGATGGTAACACTGGGCCATGCCTCACTTGTCACCTGGAGAGTGAGGGATGAGGGACATGGGGTTTGCAGGTGCCCGAGTCAGTGTCCTGCCTCTGCTCTGCCCAGCTCTACTGACCTCTGCTGCTTGGCTTCTTTACCCCACATCAGAGCATTCAGCATCCAGCTTGGCTCTCTCACCTAGAGTTGAATAGCAAATAAGTAAATGCAAAGTGGTGTGGAATAGAATACTTAATTATGTAAAGGTGTGTTGCCTTTGTTGGTGCTGCATTTGTTTAACTATGTAAAGATGTGTTTCTGTATTGATACTTTGTTTGTAATTGACAAGTCTTCCCTGAAGATCAGAGAAGCAGGGCGACCAGCCACTAGAGTTCTTACCTCTACCAACGCTCAGACCAGAGGGGTGATCCTGTCTCTACGAATCCTCAGAATGTATCTCCAGACTGCAGCTGAGCTCTTGTATCCTCCTGCCTTATATTCCTCTCTCTAGGCATATCACTTCCTGTCTCCCTGGTGCTGGGATTAAAGGTGTGAGCCACGGCCTCCTAGCTCTGTTTCACTTTGAGACTGGATCAATCTAGTGTAGCCCAGGGTGACCTTGAACTCACAGAGACCTAACCACCTCTGTCTCCCGAGTGCTGGGATTAAAGGTGTGTGCCACCACTACCTGGCCTCTGTGGCTAACTAGTGGCTTAGCTCTGCTCAGATCTTCAGGCAAGCTTTATTTGTTAAAAGACAAAGTATCACCATGTGTTTCTGTTTCACCTTGCCTGCCTAAGGCACATGATTGATATAATAAAAAGCTGAATGACCAATGGTTAGGCAGAGGAGGGAATAGGTGGAGCTGGTGGGCAGAGAGAAAAGGGGAGCCAGCCAGCGGCCAGGGACCAGCCAGGGGTCAGGCAGGCATAGAGGAAACAGGAAAGTAAGACATACAGAATTAAAGAAAGATAAAACACCCTGAGACAAAGCATAGATGAAGAGAAACAGGTTAAATTAAGTTGTAAGAGCTAGTGGAACAAACATAAGGCCTAGCATTCATAATTAATAAATCTTCGTGTCATGATTTGGGAGTTGGCGATCCAAGAAAGCCTGCTACAAAGTGGAGACTAATGGATGGGAATTCCAAGGGACCAAGGCAGAGACCAAGACCAAATGTCCCTTCTGCGTGTCCAGTGGGGCTTCTCCAACCCGTGATACAGCCTGGGTATAGGTAGCTCTGGGACCCCTTTTGGGTACTGAAGGGTACCGCGCTCTTCCTCTCACAACTGACTTCCTGTATGTGGCCCAGAACACTGTTCGGCAGGAAGAGACCACGGGGCCGGGGGGGGGGGGGTGTGCATGTGTGGAATACATTATGCCCTGTGCTTCCCTGTTCACGGCGTTTGATTCCAGGACTGCTGAACCAGCTCAAACTCCGAGACACTGTGGACGAATCTATCCTCACGGTTCCGGAGGATAGAGATCCAAGGCCATAATGTCTGGGTCCCTGCTCCTGCTTGGGAAATCTATCCTGATTCCTGCCTCTCTCATCGCCTGGCATCATCCCTGGCCTGTGCCCGTAGGCCCCAGTCCTGTTGCATTGGATCTAAACCAGTGATGGCTTCACACTGTAAAGGTGTACCTAATGAACTGGAGGCGGCGGTGGTACACTCTTTGAGGCAAGGGCAGGAAGATCTCTGAATTCAAAGGTAGCCTGGTCTACATAGGAAACACCAGTCAGCCCTGCTGGGAACCACCATACCTTCTGTGGGGAGCTTGCTCCTTTGAGAAGGAGCAATCTTGAAGTGAGAGTTCACAAAACAAAACCAAACAAACAAAAAGGGTGTGCATGACGGTGTCTGCAAGCCCAGATCCACTGACTCGTGTTCCTATGGGCATGCTGTGGCGTCTCCAAGCCCATGGGTCCCCTTTGCACAGAACGGTCCACTGAGATGTCCTGAGGACACAAACCACCGTAGTCACTAGACAGTTGCAGCCTGCCCAGGAGTCGATGTACCTGCTTTGTGCCCCAGTGGAAAAGCCAGGAGCTTGGTCGGTGAATGCCATAGCAAATCTGGGGCTTCCTTTGCTCCGAGAGGCATCAGATTACTAGCTGACCCTTCCTGCGGACTATTTAATCGGCAGTGGTAACCAAACTTGATGGTTCTTCTCTCCCTCCCTCCCTTTCTCCCCCGCCCCTCTCTTCTGCAAAGACCCCTGAACCAACTTGATCTCCTGAGCTTCCTGCCCTCCCCACCACACTCCTTTGTGATGGTAATTTCCTGTGTCTTTTGCTGGGGCCAGGGGCTCTTGAAGCTGCCAGGCACAAAAGGCTTGCCCGGCTAACAAGCCTGACACCAGCAGGGGCTGCTGGGATGTGTGTGTAATGGCATGGATGGGCTTCGTCATTGTCTGCACAAGTCCCTTGCACTGCTTCACTTGAGACCCAGCCTAACGTTTTCTGAAAGGCAGAAAGCTTCCTCTGGGCTTCCCAAAGCGGGATGGTACCCTGGGTCGGCCTCGTTACCAGCGGGCCTACTTAGGGCTGTGCTGGTCGTGTTTGAATCGGTTGACAGTTTTCTGGTTGCCAAGGGATGCTTGCATAGTCTCATAGTAAAGTCTTTAGTCCTAGGATAGGAAGGCTCCTATCCCCCTGTGCAGTGCCACCTGTGCGGAGTCGTGTGCGGCACTGGCCACTTCTGGTTCTGCACCAGTGTTGACAGCCGTTTGCGAACCCACGGAAACTCTGTGCATGGGGGCTGCTGCTTTTGCTCTTCTGTGAACTTTCATTGCCCCATTAAATGACATTCAATACAGCTGTGTAGAGAGGGTCCTTTGATACCATCATGGGAAACAGGAACTTGGCTTTTTTTTTTTTTTAAAGAAACTTATGTGGAGGTTGTCAGACGGCTCAGTGGGTAAGAACACTTGCTATCAAGCCTGATGACCCGAGTTTGATCCCTGGAACTGGAGAGAACAGACTCCCTCAAGTTGTCCTCTGACCCCGACATGTGTGCCTTGGGACTTGCATGTGCCCAATTTTTGTATTGTTTTTTGTTTTATTTTGTTTTAAACTGAAAAAAAAAGAAAAGAAAAGAAAAGAAAAGAAAAAGCTTCATGCAGATCCAGTCTGACCCTTTGGGTACGTATGAGAGATTTCAGGACAGAAACCCCAGCCAGCCCTGCCTCTCAGCAGCTCCTAGCAGCCAGTACAAGGCAATGCCTCCTCTTCTTCCTCCCTGGCTAACCGAAGAAAACTGCCATTAAAGGTCCGGAGAGGTAGCTCCGTGGTTAAGGCCACTGCTTGCTCTTCCAAAGGACCCAGGTTCAATTCCCAGCACCGATATGGCAGTTCACAAGCATCTATAACTCCAGCTCCACAGGATTTACACCCTCCTCTGGCTTCTGGACACCAGGCACTCAAGCGGTGCCGACATACATGCAGGCAAAACATCCATAAACATAAGGAAAATCTTTAAAATAACCTAAATATAAGAAAGAAAAAAAGCAAAGAAATGCCAAGGCTTCACTCTACAGTCCTTCCTGAGCTCTTCCCCCACAGCCCTTGCTCAGCTGGTGGGTTCTCTCTGCTCCCCCATTCCTTCTCCCCACTACCAGCACCTGATCCAGACAGAAAAGCTTCTATATTGAAGACTGGGCTGGGGATGTGCCCAGTTCTGGACGGGGCAGGGTGCTGAGGCTTGCCTAAGAACATCCACTCCAGAAATGACATACCCACCCACAGGGAGGGTCCTTTAGTGGTCACCCCAATCCCAGAGGAGTGACCATCCTGTCTACCCTGCTCGGCTCAGAGTCATTGCCACCCCTCAAGTGGGTTCAGCCATGGCTATAATTTCCCATACCTGTTTGATTTGCTTCCCTCTCCAGGGTCTGTTCTATTAGAAGAGGCTTCCACTTCCACCCGGCCACTGGAGACACTTTTATGCCCACCCTCTAATCTAAAGGTTTACATCTAGTTGCCCGTTTGTGATGATGAATGAATGCCTGCCTGCCCTGGAGACTTGGCAGATGCCCGGTCAAACAGTGGCCTCTTTGGGTGTCTTTTGACAGACCTGAGTTTGTCTCGGAACACAGTGCCTTTCCTGTCTATGACTCTCAGAAAGCAGGGATGTTGTTCATGAATACTAGGGGGCAGGAAGACTGACTTCTTGCCTTGGGACCAAAGAATGAAGTGCTTGACTATATGGTCTTTCTTGGGGATCGTGAGTGCACCTCTTGGCAAGCTGGGGTCTGCAGTGGCGTTTAGGGTTCCCTACAGATGATAACCCACGGAACCTCAACAATCAACCGGCTCTTCCGCCTGCAGGTTAGATAAGAACGTGGAGGCCAGAAAGGCTCGTGGAACCTGTCTGAAACCAGGGGGTTCCCACCTGAGTCAGTTCTTCCACCTGGAGCAGCAGAGAAGGGGTCTTGGGAGAGCTCGCAAACCCAGCCCCCGTCAGCTGGCGCATCAGAGTAGACATAAGTCCCTTTAGGCTAATTGTGAGTTCCCCAGGGCAGATCCCGAGGTAAAGAGAGCTGGGACACAGGTGCACCTGAACCCGGGCTCAGCTGGCCTCAGAAGACCACCCGACAGAAAGAGACTGGGGGCGCACGCACTTCCCTTCTCCCAGACCCGCCCCTACCCCTCCCTTTTCCACTCGTGCAAACCCGCCCTTGTCCCACCTCCTCCCCAGGACCCCGCTCTTGCCCCCTCCCCTTGAATCCCGCCCATGCCCCGCCTCCTCCCTTGAGATCCCTTTCCCACTGTCCGGCTGCAACGGTCGCTTCACGGTCCCCGGCGCCTCCGCCCCTCCCCCATCCACGCTCGGGCTCCCGCCTTCCCTTCTCCTCCCTCCCCCTCTCAGTGGCCCCGGACCGACTGGCGGGCGGAGTCTGGGAGCGTGGCACCTGCGAGCAAGTGAGCTCGCTGGACGCGGAGAAGACAGTCCCCAGCACAGACAGGTGTGCACGGGGTTGGGGCGACGGGGGGGACAAAGGAGAGAGGTGGGGTGAGATACAGAAGGGGGGCAGTTACGGGAATGAGGGTGTGGTTGGCAGAAGAAGGGAGTGGGACCAAGCTCGCCGCCCAGAACCATTCTTGTCTGGATCGCTTTGCTGTGGAACCGAGTCTCCCCTACATTACACCTCCTCCCGGAAGGAACTCTGGCTCCGAGCGGGGTCTCTCTGTGTCCCCATTGTTGAGAGTGTCACAAGGAGGGGGAATCCCCCCACACACCAGGAAAGGTGTCACTGGCAGGAGGCGGGGCTCTTGCCTCCACTGGTCAAGTCTCAGAACTGCGCTCTGAGCTCTCTCTCCCTCCAACCTAGTAGTTGGGCCAGTGTTCTGGACAGGTATCATAGACAAGGAGACTTGGTTGGGCCAGCACCTGGTTCTCTGGCTGATCTCTGGGGCTGGCTGCTTTGCCTTTTTACCAAAAGAAGTTTATTAGGCTGCAGGTTAAAAATAATTCTGTCACTTTCTCTGCTAACTCCAAAGTCTCCTGCTAGAAGTTACTCTTTAATCTGGCTCTTGGCATGGCTACTCTTGACCCTCTCAGGCCTAAAGGCAGGAGACCAAGTCAAGTACCACCCGGGTTTTTTAGAAGCCTCCTGGCCATGGCAAGTCCTACCCCAAGCAGCTGCAAAGTTAGGGGATCAGTGGGGATTAAGATGCCCAGCTGCCCAAAGGATGTGCTTCAGGGCCGTGGGAGGTCCCAGGATGTGTGTCCCTGGCAGCGGGTCACCACCAAAATAAAGTACCACCCTTTCTCCTTGGCTGCTGGGCCTTGGACATGCATGGTCCTCTCCTCCAGTAAACAGGAGACCACCTGGCCTGGTAAGGGTGGGGTACTGCCCTGGAGGCGGAGTGTCTGGGCCCTAGGGTGGTCTTCTAATGTAGACCTGTGTACCCTGTCTATCCCAAAGCCAGCTCAGGCCTCAAGACCTGAGCTCACAGAGGAGGACTTCAAAGCTCTGCCAGTATCGGTCAGGGTCAGCTGCAGCAAGAGGGACCTCCACTTTGTTCTTAACCTTGCTGACCTCCGGAGCCCTGCAGGCTAAGGCAAGGTTCTGTTTTAGCTTGTCACCTTGCCCTGTGTGCAGTGCCTCGATAGAGGCTTGAGAAATGGTCACTCACGCTGGCAGACCCAATGCGGTCAAGAGCCACTGCAGAAGCCTGCCCTAGCTGACTTGCCAAATTCTACAAAAAACAGAGACCTGTAGAAAAGACTTGCAGAGCGTGAAGGGTGTGAGGGCCAAGGATGGCCGTGGAAGCCACCTCCAGGCCTGTGGGGAAAGTCTCAGTGCCGAGGATCCCCTCATTCCTGGGTGACTGTTCAGAGAACTCCGACCTTCTCTGCAGAGTTACCTTAACTACCTTTAGTGGGGAGGCCTGGGAACCTGAAGAGGGACAGAAGGCCCCTTCTCCATGCTGCCAAGACTTTCTGGGGATGTTCCCTACTTGTCGGTCCTAAGTCAGCTCTGCTTGAGGGTCTCCAAGTACAGACAAAACCTTGCAAAACCTGATGTCTTAGTCACTTCGGTACAGAGGCCCCTTACTTGACGGTTACTGCATTTCATTTCTGCAAAATATGACGAAATATGAAACCAAGAGAGGATCCTCAGGTAAGGAGCAGAACAAGTGACCTGGCTGTGCCCGCAGAGGCTCTGGAGATGCAGCTGTCACCCGTGTAAGGGTGACAGTGATGGGAACACCATGTCCTGTGTGTACCCAGCTGTTTCTGTGCCACTCCCTGGCTTTACCTTCCTGGTCCAGGTGAGAGGGTGGTCAGGACACCACACTTGATCTCTCATGGTCCTCTCAGTGTGAGACTAGCGATACCTGAGTCCTGGGTCCTGATGCACAGGTCCCTGTCTCTCCCATATCTTAGAGAAGTAGCGGGAGCCTTTCTCTGCAGGACCTGGCATTCGGGCAGAGAGGTTACTCTATTTTTCCCTTTGAAAGTGCCCCAGAAGGTGGGCTCAGGAAGTTGGAGCTCTTTGGGAGGCACTACACCTGTGAGAAAGTCACTTAGGGCAGTGCCACCTGAATGGAGTGGTGACTCCGGAGTACCTTGCTCCGCTCTGGGCCATGGCTGAGGACCAGGGGCCCTTTGTAGTCTCACAGCGTCAAGCTGCCACAGGCCCGGGAAGATGCAGTGCTAATCCCTCCAGGCCCTGTCAAGTAGAGCTTGCAGAACATTGGGACTTTGGCAGGACAGTGAACGCAACATGGCTAGCTACCAAGAGACCCTTGGACACACAAGAGGGCCAGTCACTTTGAACCAAGTAAGAGCCCAGAATGTGAAGTAGCTCAGTCATGAGTTGTGGCCAGCATAGACAGCTCTGTGGAGTCATGGGAAACAGGCTCCTCCCCAGAATATCCAGGGTTACTTTTAGAGCAAATGCTCAGAGATCGAAGGAAGTGCCAGCCACCGAAAGCCCGCATTTCTACTGGGAAAGCTCTAGGACCGTGACTGACCATGGGCATCACCTAAATTTCCAAGATGGAATAAAGAGCAAAACCAAAACATCTACCAGGGAAGCAGCAGCAGACCCAGAGACAGTGACAACACACACCTCTTCTCACAGTTTCTAGGTCTGTCACAAGACAAATGAGCCTGGGAGAGGCTCTGCATGCAGAAGAAAGAGATGAAGGTGGGGCGGGAGTTGTGGGAAAGGTTTAATGACCCTTAGTGGTGGGCGGGAACCCGAGGCACTTGGGTGAGGGGGCCTCTGCACTTCCACTGCCCCATCTTTCCACTGTGTGGGCAGCAGCAGGCTGAGAGTCCCAGGCTGCTGCTGCGGCCCATCCTCAAGGGTGTTGCCTCCTTTGCATGCATTGGCACTGAGTCTTGTCTCATGCTGTAGTCTGTGCCAGCCAGTAGAAGCAGGAGTTACCCTGACAGAGACAACAGCAGGTGGATGATAAACACTGGCTGCCAGACCAGTGAGGCAGGGGTGGGGCTTTGCCAGGTAGCAGGAGTTCCAGCTACCTGGTGACTTTTCATGGCCGTAGATGGGTTTAACCCTGCCCTGGTGTGCGCGACACCTACTGAGGCTCCAGGGTGCAGAGACCTGGGACCTGGGCCACCCAGGCTGGCCTCTCATTGGACGTAGGACATCGGCCAGCTGTCAGACACCTGTCCAGTGCCTGAGGTTCTGCTACTGGTGAGAGTTAGCTAACGAGTCCATAGGGATGCGGTCCTCAGAACAGAACTTCTGCTCCCAAGGGCAGCGTCAGCTGTGGAAGTCCGATTCCTGCCTCTCAGGAAACACATTGCTGCCTATCGTCCCTCTGCCGTGCCCAGCCTCCCTCTCTGCCTGCTCATGATCAAATTATCAAAAGACACAGGACTGTTCTTATGTAGAGCACACCAGGGGTGGTGTGCAAAGCAGCCGGAGATAGCACTCTGCTGGAGAAAGAAAGGCTTGGGCAGGAAGCACGCAGAACTCAGCCATCAAGCTAAGGATGACCTAGAGGGCCAGGGTACCTCCAGGCGCTGCACTGTTCCTCACCATTGCTGAAGAAATAACCTGGACTCTTCTCCACTGTCCTTTGAGATAGAAAGACAACAGAAGCACAGGCACGGGGGAGGGGCAACGTTGAGGCAGAGACACCCCCTGGCACTCTTTGAACACTCTTTTTAAGTATGAGCGCACATAGCGTCAGCCTGACTTCTCCCCAGAAAAGTGTGGGACACCAACATGCCCAAACATATTAAATTCTCTTCGCTAGAATTTAGAAGACTAGAGGATAAAATAGGATTGGTTGGTTGGTTGGTTGGTTGGTTGGTTGGTTGGTTGGTTTTTGAACTAAGAAAATTTCCCTTCCAACATTTTATAGTCATAATTTGGTTCCCAGAGCCCAGAAGTAGGTCTCTAGCCAAGGGTCAGTTGTCCTTGGAATTCTGTCCTTCACAAGTCTCGACATGCAGGTGAATGGGTGAGACAAAGCTATGCCAGGCATGTGCTGGTCTCGTCATGTGCGGCACCGATAAAGAACACTCACCCCATGTCCCCGGGGTCTGTCCCCAGACCATTGCAGGGACAGCTTGAGAAATGTCATAATAAACAGACACAGTGACGGAGGATACAGTGGGCAGCAGTAAACCACAAAGGGACTTGTTTCGTGTCAGACAGGCAGACCAGCCGTCCATACCCAGGGTGACTGGGAGCTGGGGAGGAAGTGGGAGAGCAGGGCCTTAGCTGGACACTTCCCAGAGCTAGAATGTCTGCCCTGTTCGAGAACATTGTACTTACTGGATCATGGCATTCCCTGGCCAGGCAGCCTGCTTCCCACCTGAAGGAGTCACACTGTCAACAGAGGTTGGGAGAGGCTCTAGGCACCTCTATCACATGGCTAGAGCTAGACATCTCAGTACAAATCTCCACCCATGGGTGGTCAGACTCCAGGAGGGACAGGAAGCAATGCCAGAGCAAAGCAAGGCCGTTGACCATGGTGTGGGTTTCCTCTGAAGAGAGGCAAGGCCTGTGTTAACAAGGAGCTTGACAGGAATTTTGAAGTTGGGATCTTAACCATCCAACCTGTCCATGAGAAAGTCTCCTGCAGACAGTGGCCTCTTCCAAGATGGAACTGGGGAAGGAAGGGGTCTGTAGCCTGAGGCAGGGGCATCCGAGCCAGAGGGCAAAACCAAAGGGGCACTGTGAAAGATAAGATAGACTATACGTTCCACTTCTGCTCTCGGAAGGGCCTGCGGGCACTAAGCCAACAGAGAGGAGTCCCGTGGCGCCTTCCCTGTGCTGAGTGCCCCAGAGACCCCAGCGGGCAGTCACCTGGGGCAGGCGAAAGTAGTCCTGGTGCCTCGGAAAGGGTGTTGCTTTCTCTTTAAATTCAAGATCGCTTCCCAAGGGAGCTTTACCACGGTGTTTGCCAGAGTTTCCCACAATAATGTTTGTTCTGGACCTAGGAGCCCTTTGCTTTGCTTAAAAAATATTTTGAGTAATCTGAAAAGCCACAAGCCCGGCTTTGACAGCCTGCCCGGCCAGTGAGGCAGACCTGGAAAGCCAGGGAGCTGGCACAAGCTTGTCCTTGAAACAAGAAACTAAATGTCAAGAAAGTCTAGGTTTTTCTCCTTTTCCCCTTTTACGTTGAAGAAGTAAGTACTGTTTTTCTTATACAACCCCTATTTCAGTATATATAAGTGACAGGTGGGTTTTGTTGTTTGGGGCCTTTTTTTTTTTTTTTTTTTTTTTTGTCTGTGAAGACAGCTTGCTACAAGCTGTTGAAATTCGGGGAATAAGCTTAACTTCACACATGTTACAGCCCCTTTGGAATAAACGCTAACGTAGCTGGTGGGTTTGTTCTTATTCAGAGAAATAAGTCTTCCATCTTCCTGCACCTTGACCTCATTTCCTTTGCTGCCCCAGCCTCATGTCCGACTGCTGGTGCTTCGTCTTGTGCAAGGAATGTGGCCACAGCAGTCCTCCCTTACAGCAGCACAATGGGGGCGCAAAGGAGGAGGCCGATCACCAAGTGGACGTGTCCGATGGCATCAGGCTTGTTCCAGACAAAGCGGAGGCGACGGCCGCAGCCCCAGGTAGGTGCTGGTGGTCCCGGACTCTCTCTGATCCCGCTGATGATTAGATTCTAAAGTCCTGTGCTCAGCCGCAGGGCACCAGATGGAGTGGCTGGGCCCCTGGCTGTGCTGGGGGTTCATACGAGTTAACCTGCTTCTGGGTAGCTTGCCTGCTTGTTGGTTACTTCAATAAGTATCATAGAAAGAGGCTGGCTTTGGTTAGAGATTATGAAAACTAAGTCTTTGGGTTTTAAATAAAGTATAGTACACCAGAAGGAGGAATTACTCATAGTCTTTGCTTGCTTTCTTTCTCTCTTTCTTTCTTTCTTCCTTTCTTTTTTTCTTTTTGTACTGTTGCTTTTTTCTGGCATGTTTTCTCTTAACATGCCAACCAGTTCCCTGCTCACAGAAAGAATAGAATTAGAGCCATATATTGTGCACCCCCAGACTTCCAGGGTCATAGAGTGTGCACCCCCAGACTTCCAGGGCCATACAGTGTGCACCCCCAGACTTCCAGGGTCATAGAGTGTGCACCCCCAGACTTCCAGGGCCATACAGTGTGCACCTTCAGACTTCTAGGGCCATAGAGTGTGCACCTCCAGACTTCCCAGGCCATAGAATGTGCACCCCCAGACTTCCCAGGCCGTAAAGTGTGCACCTCCAGACTTCCAGAGCCATAGAGTGTGCACCCCCAGACTTCCCGGGCCATAGAGTGTGCACCTCCAGACTTCCCAGGCCATAGAGTGTGTACCCCCAGACTTCCCGGGCCATAGAGTGCACATTCAGATTTTAAGGGCCATGGAGTGTGCACCTCCAGACTTCCCTGGCCATAGAGTGTGTATCCCCAGACTTCCCAGGCCATAGAGTGTGCACCTCCAGACTTCCTGGGCCATAGTGTGCACTCCCAGGTTTCTGGAGCACAGGCTTTTCCCGTGGTCAGTCTTTGCAGTAGGATAGTCATGTTGGTCCATGGTCCTGGCCAGCCTACAACCCCTGGAGTGAAAGAAGGGCAGAATGTGCCTTGAGTTTGCATACTCTTAACTGTGTTTCCCCTCCCTCACCCAAAAGTAAAGCATGCAGCAGGCTGAGCAGGTGTGTACATCCCACTGAGGGGGAAGTGTGAATCTGACTCCAGGGCTGTCTGATTCTGTGACTGACCCAGCGTCAGACTGCAGACCTAAGGAAGCTCTCTCAACACTATCTTCTTGCCATCTTGACTCTTAGGGCCATGACCCAGACTAGTATTTGCAGCAGTTGGTCTAACTCATGAGGCCAACTGGGCTGTTTACTCTGAGGTGTCCCCGTCTTCACGGAGGGCTATGTGTCTTGGTCAGGGTGTCTGTAGTGATAACCTCTCTAAGGTTCAGGGCTAGTACCCTTGTGACACCTTCTAAGGAATAGCACTTTACGGGCTGACCTCCTGAGTGCTGGGATTAAAAGCGTGCACCACCACCGCCTGGCTAAATCATTATTTTCTATAGTGACAAAATATACACAACACTACTTCTTAACTGGGCATGGTGGCGCACACCTTTAATCCTAGCACTCAGAAGGCAGAGACAGGCAGATCTCTGTGAGTTCAAGGCCAACCTGGTCTACAGAGTGAGTTCCAGGACTGTCAGGATTATTACACAGAGAAACCCTGTCTTTGGGGGAAATATTATATATGTTTTCCATTTTAAAAGATATATATATATATGTTATATATTTCCCATTTTAAACATTTAGCACATAAAGTATGCTCCCATTACACACACACACACATACATGTATACGCTTATGCACATGACCACACACATGCGCTTCCACACACACACACGCCCACACACATGCGAGCGCACACACACAGGTGAGTGCATACACACACACACACACACACAGGTGCATGCACACATGCTCACACACACGCACGCGCGCGCACGCACATGCACACACAATCTCCAATACTCTCATCTTCCCAGACCGAATCCCTAGTCCCACCTCTGGCCACCACTCTACCTTTTGTCTGAGTAGCCTGGCGCTCCAGGGATCTCAGTGAGCTTCCTCATTAAGCTTCCATTCCAGGTGGGTCATTTCACTCAGCGCGTAGCAGAGATGCTTTGGATGTCAAGACTCAGTCAGAGTCCAGGGTGCACCGTCTTCATGACCTAGCATGTAGTCCCGCTTGCATGGACGTGGATGCCTGGGCCTCGTCCCCTCTGTGATTACTCTGAGCAGTTCTGGGTGTGGGACGCGTGTTATCCCTGGGTATCTTCAGAGGTTGGTGGCTGCTGCGTGATGATTGGTCAGCTTGGAAGTTGTTTTACTGGCTGAGTCCCCCAGTGCCATCTCTGCCACTGTGAAGGCAGGAAGCTAGTGTCCAGCCTGCCGTCCACGTTCTGTCAACACGCTGCTGTCTCTGAGGTCATGCGGAGGTTTGGGCCACGCTGGGTAAACACTGATAAGCCTGTTTTCCAGCTCGCTTGCTGCAGTCTGTGGCCTTCTGTGTGATCTGGCATTCCTTCCACCTTCTTGATTTCAGCATACCCCACAACAGTGGGTTTGCCCAGGGGTTCCCCAAACTCCAGTTAACCACTTCACCATCAGCCGTGGGAGGCCTCAGGAGCATCCGTAGATAAGCCCTTTCAGGGATCCCATCTGGCTGGTCAGACAGCTGACATTCAACCTGTGCAAAAGGCTTGGTGAAAGGCCACAGCACACTCCAGGGCCTCTGGTTTGCTCCTCCCTTGGCCAGTCTTTGCTGTGGACCCATCTTCGCCATAGCTGTTCTCGCTGCAGGGCCACCCCTCCCAAGACGCTGTTCTGACTCTGCTGAGGCGGGAGAAAGTCCACCCTGTGGCCCCCAGACCCCGAGGCTCCTCCCATACTCCTTCTTCACCGAGTTGGCTTTTCCTGAGGAAAATTACTCTTTCCATGCAGGATGAAGTGGTGCCACTCCCCAGATGGACTGAGGAGGCTTACTGGTCTCTGTGTGTCACCCTCTAAGGTCCAGCCACGCCTGTCTTCTGGGTCCTCCAAGCTCCAACTCCCAGTGCTGGGTTCCTTACTAGAACCATCAGCATGGCTCGTAGACAGTGTCCCCCACCCTGTCAGTCAGACATCCGAGGGAAAGCCTCTCTTGCATCTTCATAGGTCTCTTTTCTAGCTGAGTGATGCTGAGCCTATTCCACGGCCCACTCCTCAGCACTTAGAAGCGCTGCTGCAGATACACACCTGTGACCTCTACCTGGGACTGGAGGCAGGAGGATCATATATTCAGGGTCATTCCCACATATATAGAAAAATCAAGGCCAGCCTTAGCTCAGGAGACTCTGTTGCAAAAGAAAATGGGACAAAGCAAAACACCATGAAGTCACCTCTGTCAGAATGCCCTTGGAATTGGAAGTGGGACTAGAATGTGTCCCCATGTGCTTGTTTTTCCTCCACCCCCCCCCACCTGCCTCCATTAGCTGACATACAACTTCATTCAGGCAATATGCCTCAAGCCATGAGGCCTGGGCACAGAGATTGGCTGCTGTCCTGTATCCAGCCCCGCCAGAGGTCTGGGATGTACCCAGCATGGAAGCCAGGCAGAGCCTCCCTGCCAGACACTTCATCTCTGGTCAAGTACACAGCTAAACAAAATGGAAACCTCTTCAGAGTAGAGACCCCCAGAGCTTAGGGAGGGCCTGAGGGGGTGCCAGTGAGTCCTGCTTCCAAGTGCCATGCACCCTTTAGGAGATCTTGACAGATCTATCCTATAATACAGATGAGAAGAACACATAGACACAATGCAAGCACAGGTAAGCACATGTACACACATGTGGGAATGGGCACACATGAATACACACATTGTATGGATATACAAGCATGAACAAGTACACAGATGGCACAAACATGCTGGTATACAGAAGCATGCATACACATAAACACACCTCATGGAATGCAAGCATGGTGTACACATATGTACACGTGCACATGTGAGCATAGACATGCAAGCATGGGCATGCATGTTATCTTAGTTTCATTTCAGTTGCTATCATAAAATGTTCTGACAAAAGCAACCTGGGGGAGAAAGGGTCTGTTCTTGCTTATTGATTCCTAGTTAGTCCTAATGGGGAAGTGACAGGTGGCAGGACCTAGAAGCGGCTGGTGACATCCGCAGTCAAGAACAGAGTGGCATGCATGCCTACCAGTGTTCAGCTTGCTCTCTCCAGTCACACAGTCCAGGATCCAAACCCAGGAAATGGGACCCCCAATAGATGAGTCCCCCATGTCAGTTCCCGCAGTCAAGGCCGCCCTCCACAGACATGCCGCAGCCCAACCCGATCTAGCGGCCCCTTACTGAGGTTCTCTTCTTAGGGGGCTCTTGATGGCCGCAAGTCACCAACTAAAACTAGCAGTAGCATGTGCATGTCAAGAACACACAGCCATGAGCGCACAGACAGAAATGCATATACCTGTGTGGACATGGACACAAGCAAGGACACATATGAAAGCGCACATGGCAGGGCCATACAAGCATGGTCACCTGCACATGGACTTGGGCAGGCAGACATGAGCACACACTTACATGGTGTGTTTCATCAGATGAGTTTAAGACTCCAGACTCCCTGTTCTCTGGGTGCCTAGCAGAACCTCCTTCTCCAGACTCCTCCCTTTTCAGACCCCTCCTTCTCCAGACTCCTCCCTCTCCAGACTCCTCCCTCTCCACGCCCTCCCTCTCCAGACTCCTCTCTCTCCACACTCCTCCCTCTCCAGGCCCCTCCATCTCCAGACCCCTTACTCTGCCTGCCTTGTGGTGTTCTCACCACTATCACTCCACCCACTATGAATGCAGTTGCCTGCTCCCTTTGGTGGGTGGGAAGCATCACACTCCCGCCCTAGCATACCAGAGGGCCAGCCTTGGCACGATGTCCCACTAGCTTTCTTAAATGCTCTGTCTGTGACTGCATGTGGCCAAACCTAATGGTTTAATGTGTTTTTATATGATCACTGGGCAGGGCTGGAGGCTGAGCAGGATGAGAAAAGCTTAGGAAGAACAGAATTGGTCCCTGCCTTGAAGAATGATGGAAATTATATTCAAATGCAGCCAGCCACTCCAAAGGCCTCAGGAACAGGCCAGTTGAAGGAAACCAGCTTTATCATTTTGTGCTGGTGTGTGTCGGGAAGGGGGCCGGTCCTAATGACAACTTGCTGGAGAATGGATGAACTGCCTGGGTTGTGGCATCTGTACCCAGTGACTGCAAATGTGTGGATCCCTCAGGCCTGGGGCCTGCAGCCTGGAAGGGCCCTGCCCTAAGTCTGCATGGGGAGATGGCCTCTGATCACTCAAGGACTGTGGGCTTTCAGTTTCCTGGCTCTTTGTATAAATTCCCTGGGAGAATTTGCCTCCTCCTTGTGTGCATTTAATGAGAAACTCGGGTGTGGAGGAGGCTGTTCGGCTGCTCAGCGTATGAGAAGCAGACCCCGGCGAGCAAGCTGCTTAGCGCTCCACTCTCTAGTCTTTTCTGGGTTGCTTTAACAGCCTGCGCAGCTCCTGCAGATGGTGCAGGCAGCTTGATTGCAAGTGATGAACTTCCCATTCCAGCCTTCTGAATCCCTCAACATCTTATCACTGCGAGTTTCTGTTATTCAGGAAGTTGGCAAGGGTTCTTGATATTTTTGGAAAGCATTTTTTAGTGAAAATGGGTTTGCAGTCCTTTGGGGACTGGTTTGTGTGTTATTGGTCAAAACTGAAAGTATGGTTAGCAATCCTCACCTCTGCTGCCAGGGGGAGGGGGAGGGGAGCCAGTGGGGCAGGCTGCAGGGATACCACTCCAGGGCTTGCTGAGCTCACCCTGGCCCCTACCCTGTCCTGGAGAGTCCACAGGTTCTGCCCCTGCCCCCAGTCCCCTCTGGCTCTTGGATGGACTGAAGAGAATTAGCCAGTGTTTGTGACTGTTTAATTAAAATGAACAATATGTGTTATCTAAACAGGTGACTAAGAGACACCACAGGGACAGTCCTCTGGGAGGTGGGCAGTGTGTGTCTGAACCATCTCAAGGGCCTTGCTCACCTCTTACCAACCTGCAGTACAGCAATATCTGGGGGCAGAGATTTTGCCTGCATTTCATGAGGACCTATGTGAGTTTTCTGTCAACTGTGAGCTGTTTCTGTAGAATCTTCCATGAGATCCTTACATTTGGGATGCTCTCTGTGGTAAAGGTGATGTTTAGGAGAGTCTCCTCTGAAGTGTGTGTTTGACCTTGAAGCACCAAAGGGGACGTGCCAGGCACTAAATGTTACTACACACATTATTCCATATTTGTCATTGCTTCTTCCAGTTACTCAGTGTTGTCTGAGTTGCTGGCTTCGCCTTGAATTTCTCCCTGTGTGGACACCTTTCCTCATCCCACTTGCCCAGTGGGAGCTGCCCATGAGGACAGGCAGGAATGTAGCCAGTCTCAGGTAGAAGTTCCTGGGTCCTAAAGTCACTGTCTCCCTGGACATTCCTGACCTCTGTAGTCCCCACTGTTGGCCATAAAAACCACAGTTCTCATCTTATACAGGGTAAGTGTTTCTTCTGGAACCATTATGAGTGACCATGGCCCCAAAACGCAGATTTAGGTTCCCCCAAATTCCATGTTCCTTGTGGAAACAGTTTTATAAAGGTTTTATAATTTTACAGAACAAAGGAAGTCACAAATCAATTTTAAAATCCACTGGTGGTATTTACAGTACACTCGGAGAGACCAGTACAGCGAGATGGGGGAGCTGTTTTACAGACCCGAGATGTTAACTGATGTTGTTCTCAGCTTGGATTGGTGGACGCTGCTGTCCTGCTAAGTTAACAGCATCTAATGGTCTTGTATTTATTATCGTGAGGTGTTGGTTCAGATACAAAGTGGGGCAAGGAATTCCAGAAGGTAAAACTAGCCCAAGATACATTAGCCTCTGAACCTACAAAATTCCAGTCTCCCCACAGGACTGAAATCCCAGTTGGCCTGTCATCTACAGACTCCTTCCAGGAGATATTTGTTCCCAGCCAGACCCGGCTTCTTTTCAGGGATTTTCGTTCACACCACAGGACTTCCTGCTCTCCTTGGTCTCCACCCAGCACAGGCACACTGAAATCTTTCTCCCGAGTCCTTGGGAGCTGGCTTCCCAGCATCACGTCTAATGTGGGCTGGCACTGATAGGAATGTTATCCTCAGCTGAGGCAGGATCTGAGGCCGCCATGGACACTACCCGGGTGTCCTTCTGCCCGGGCATTTTCATCTTCTGGTCCATGACCAGGGAAATAGGAAATTCCATGCTGACAGAAAGTGGGCCTTCATCAGTGGGCTTGTTCACCAGTGACAAGCAGAGCTCATGGCTTTTGGAAGTTACTTAGAGGGCCTTATGTTCTAACAAAGGACCCGGGGCAGCAGAATGCTGAAACTACATCAGGAGACACAGTTACGAAGACTGTGTACATTTTTTAAAAATGCCACAAGGACAGGCTTTAGTAAGTCTCTCTCCTGGGTAGCATAGTGGCGGTCACCTCAGAGAGCTGACTGTGGGAACTGAGGGAGAGCACAGCACAGCAGGATGAGAATTCACCCTGGGCAGCATTATAGAATCATGAGTGTGGGGGCCGAGAGCTGGTGCAGTGGCCAAGAGCACTGGCTGCTTTCCCAGGGGACCCAGGTTTGATTCCCAGCACCCACAATCATCTGTAACTCCAGTCCCAGGGGATCTGATACCCTCTCCTGGCCTCTGAGGACACAGCATGTACACAGACATGCATGCATCAAGTCACCCATATACATAAAAATAAAGAGAAAAAAATGAAGCATAAATGTAACCACAGATGTCCCCCTCTGTGCCCGCTTGTGGACCTGATTTAAATAAGTGGAGCCTTTATGGCTACAGAGGGGGAAAAAGACAGTCATCATGAATAAAAAAATCCCAGGACCACTTTTAGAAATTGAATTAGGAAATAATCCAAATATTATCATGAGGATTCATGAGCCAAGATGTTTATCATAGCTGTTATTTGTAGGTATAAAAACTATGGGGGAAAGCAAAATTACAGCCATAAGGATTTGGACAAATTAGTTATCTGGTTATCTGTTAAGATTATAACTGTCTACTATATCTTTTGCTGGTACAAACACTGTGACCAGGCTACCTCATGGCCTGGGTGTGTGTGGTTGGCAGATTCTCCCCATGAGGGACTTCTGTGTCCTGTCTGAGGAAGCCTTCTTACCTGTCCCAGTTGATCCACACAACTATGAACACCTGATTTTTGATAAAGAAACTAAAATTATACAATGTAAAAAAGAAAGCATCTTCAACAAATGGTGCTGGT